TCCATATCCTGCATTTTAATTGTTTTAATGTATTTTAATCTTGTTTTTAAGTTGTATTCATTCAACTCGTTTTTATTATTGGTTGTTAGCTGCCCTGAGCCTGGCCTTGGCTGGGGAGGGCGCGGTATAAATAAAAGATTTTATTTATTATTATTATTATTATTATTATTATTATTATTATTATTATTATCCTATATCCACATGTCCTACATTTACTGTGGTCTACAGATAATGGTCACCTGCTTTTTTCCCTTATTCATTCAGTCTCATGTTATGTATTGTTTCTGTTTCAGATTTATCGCGGAACAGACTCTCGGAGCTGCCAGCAGAAACTTGTCTCTTTGTTTCCCTTGAGAGCCTTAATTTGTACCAGAATTGCATTCGCTATATTCCAGAAGCCATTCTGAACCTGCAGTCCTTAACGTTCCTGAATATCAGGTAACCGTGATATAAAAGTAGCAGCGCCCAACATTATGCAACTCTTGAAAAGCTCAAGCCAAAGGGACGCAGTGTAGGGGAAAGCGTCTGTGGGGAAAGCAAGCAATTCTTCACATTCCTACCATTCAGTGCTGGGGCTAAACTTGAATAAAAACACTGGCTGTGATTCAAAGAATTCTGCATGCATGTTGGGACTCTCTGGGTTTCCTGTTCTGACAGCATCTCCTTGTACTCAGTTCGAAAGCATGCCACTGCAAGTAGATAAATAGGTACCACTGTGGCGGGAAGGTAAATGGTGTTTCTATGTGCTCTGGTTTCCATCACGGTGTTCCGTTGCCCCAGAAGCAGTTTAGTCCTGCTGGCCACATGACCCAGGAAGCTGTCTATGGACAAACACTGGCTCCCTCGGCCTGAAAGCGAGATGAGCACCGCAACCCCATAGTTGCCTTTGACTGGACTTAACCGTCCAGGGGTCCTTTACCTTTTACCGGAGGGTCCTCTGATTTTTAAGGCCACATTATTTGTAGTAAAAGCTGCTTAGCATGAAATATTCAAGCGTATGGTAGTGAAAACTTGAATTTCTGCTGACTTGATAGTAATAGGCTATCTTATTCATTGGGTCCTTTGTGTTAAATCGGGAAAAGTGCTTTAAGATGTTTGTACAGAGAGATGTTTTTATTCAGGCACTCTTTGGGCTTTATAAGCTGAGCTTGTACCCTTTGTAGATATGTTGCATTCTGGTTGACTGTTGTTTTTATTGGATTTATTGATAGGCAGTGATATATTCTGTTGTTACCTTGTATATTTTATTCTCTCTCGGACCACTGTTAGCTGCTTTGATCACCGTTTGGAAAGGCAGGATACAGATTGAACTAGTAAATAAATAAAAGAGTGTAAAAATAAGTAATAGAGTTTGCTTTGGCACTATCCTCTAGCCAATTCAGTTTTGCCTAGCTTCCTTAATTTTTTTACAGTGAGTCTTTTTTTTATTCAAAGGATGTGAGTCAGAGGATAACTTCCCATTGTTGTGCATTTTAAAATATTTATTATGTGCTGCCAATTTATGTTGGACAGTCTATGCTGCTTGAGGAGAGGATTTTTCAGTACAAAGCTTAGACTCCATGCATTAAAAATAACCACCCTTCTCTCTAGGCAAACTAAAGTATTTAGAAGCCACACAGAGTGGAGCAACTGCTTGTCAACAGTGTGATCCACTGAAAGGAAAGGAACATTGAACTGAGGGTTGATTTTCTTTTGGAAGGAAGGTATCCTGCCCCACCCATCCTGCTTCTAAGTCCTTGCTGTTTAAAGAAGAAGAGGAGATACATTGGTACCTCTGGTTACGGATTTAATTCGGCGCCACTTATGCGCACACACGTGGTGCGATAGAGCGCTTCTGTGCATGCGCATGGTGCACAGAGTGCTTCTACGCATGCGCGAGCAGCGAAACCAGAAGTATACACTTCTGGGTTTGCTGCGGCCATAACCCAAAGATTCTGTAACCTGGAGGTTATGCAACACGAGGTACCACTGTACTACTCCAAAATCCCACAAGCCCCCTCGACATAATCAAAGAACAATGGGAGGACGACATAAGCCATGAAATTAACCCTATCCAATGGACTAGAATGTGGTCTAAACCTCCCTTTAAATCCATCTCAGCTAGAAGAAAAGAACTCACCCTGAAACTCACAGATGGTACATAACATCACAGAAACTAGCACTGATTCGCCCAGGAGCCTGACCAAAATCCACAGGCACATACCTCCACATGTAGTGGGAATGTCCCAAAATCCAACAAGAATCCACCAACAGCATACGAATCAATCTGGTTAACCTTAAGATTGCCAAACGTCTGGGGGGAATTTCTGAAAGGCGGTGCTTTGTTTTGGATCTTAGGCGATTTGTGGGTTTTTTGGCGATTTGTGGGTTTTTTTGGTGTTTTTGAAAAAGAAAGCTCAACAACTTTGGAGTTTTGGGGTCTTACTTAAATCTTAAGACAAATGACAAAGACAACCAACCAGACCAGCCCCAACCTCTCTCACCAAGGAAATACAACAAGCGAATAGAAAGAGAACCCACGCAAGTGAGGCTGACACAAAACACCACACATACACTAATTAGAAGAATAGAAGATTACCACCCCACCCCAGGCTCCCTCCCCGCCCTTCCCCTCTTCCCCCCTCTTTTCTTCCCAACCTTATACTGCATGCAACACTAATGTCTCACGACAAATTAAACTGATCTATAGAAAACACAACCTGAAAAAGAGACAATGCACTTATTTTTGTAAACTAACTAATAAAAATCTTCTTCTTTTTCCTCTTCTTCAAAAAAGAACAAGAGTTTTAATCAGTGATAGTTGAAGCCCTTGGAGTGGCCCTCTATATTGTCCATTTTTCCTGATTCTGTGTGGCCCCTGTGTTTCATGGAAGTCTCTACATTGTAGTGCTGTTTAGCATTGCACTCCTCATGAGATTTGAGGTTTTTAGCATGTTAGAATTCTTTGCTGCAGAGCATTCCAAAACTGAGGAATCTTCTCCCACCAGAAGGCACAAACGCCATTTGTATTGCTTTGCCTTCAGCAGCCGGGAGGAGCAACCCACTGCAGGGCTATCTTCTTCTGTTGAAAAGAACAAACCTTCAAGGCCAGTGTTTCTTTTTCCAGCACTTGAGATCGAGAGCTGTAATCACCGGCCTTCCACTTGCATCTGCTCATTGTAATTACTGTTTGCAAACACAGTATGGTTAACCTACTTCATCGTGCCTGATTCACTTGGTTATTATTTTTCCTTTCATGACAACGTACCTGAATTTGAACACAGTTTTCCGGTACAAGCCATTCCGTTGCTCCATTGCAGAGTTTATATGTGGGTTGTACATCTCTCTTGAACTGTTTATAGTTTGCTTTGTACTTGTGTTTTCTTCTGTTTCACTCTTGGGCGTGCTCCTTTATGTGGGATTAGGGTCAAGTTAAATTAATGCTAGAAAGTCCAGCTGCAGTTGACTGTGGTTTCCTTTTTAGATGCTTCACTGTATAAGATCCTCAGGCTGCCAGTTTTAGCCACATGGTTCCCTCCTTTACCCAGACAGGCATAAAGACTGAGATCTTAGATAGTACAGATGCACTTGGTTACCCAGATGACTTATCTCAAAGGAGGAAGATGAGGCAAATATTAGCCAGTTCCCACCAATTTATATCCAGCAACGCCATATAAATCCTTTCCCCATGCTACATAAGCTTTTTCTTCATAGTTAATAAAATGTGTAACAGCTGTGTTCTGATCCGTGGATGACCCGAGGCAATATTGCAACCTATGGATGGAGAACCATTGATTCCAGACTTCAGATTTCTCGATTCCTGTCAGCTGCTGGTTTTCCCTGACTTTTAAAGTCATAATAATAATATTATTGACTGGGTTGTCCCAGCCACTCTGGGCAGCTCTGAACAAGATATTTAAAAGCACAGTAAAGCACCAACCATTATAAACTGGTTATGCCAGTCTAAAGTTATTTCTTAAGGTTAACTATGTAACATGAAGAGATGGGCATTAATATTCAACGCAGATTCACATACCACAGCTTGAAACAGAAAATGCAGGTGACTGTCTTTCTGGCCATCTGAGCCTCTTTCCAATATAAAGCTTTCCATTTTTCCCTTTCTAAAATCAAGGGATTAAGGAGCATCACTAATTTTTTCTCTGCTTGGAGGCCAATCGGATTCCCTCCATACATTTCAGGAAAAGTTATCCAGAAAATATGGCTAGGACTTAACTTTCCCCCTTTTTGGCCTTCACACAAACTACCTTTTCCCATTCCCTAACCTCGGCCATAAGGTAGTCTGGACATCAGACGGAAAGCAGCAAAAGAAACAAGTATTGCTCTAGGCTTTTTCCAGTGCTTTTGTTCCTCTTAATCTTTGGTTGGATGGCACTGACAGAAGACTGAAGCATTTTAACTGTATGATAGCTTTTTTTATTGTGATAACTGAGCTGTATGGAATTAGGGTTAATTCTTGGTTAGCAGGGATCTGTCAAGGAAGAAGAGCCGATGGTGAAATAACTCTCAAGTGATGTGATGGTGGTTTTCTTTATTCAGGGAGGTTAGTTTTGACAACTTGGTCCCATAAGTATGGGACTTCAAATAGCTTGTGGTCTTTTCTGTCTTCTGGCATAGCAAGCAAATGTGAAAAGCAATAAACTGTTTAATGCATATAAAACAGGACTCTGCAATTCTCTGAATCACAGCTTGGTGCATACACTGGAAGTTCTCCCAGTCTTGCCTTTTAATTTCAACCCCAGAATTCAGTTCAGCTTGTCAGAAATCCTGTACAGCCATGATTTTTCTTCATAGTCATTTGACCCTGTGGATATAGCAGAAGATCCCAGCTGTTGATTAATGTGCCCAAACTGCCCTGTTCTTATATTCTGATAACAGTGCATTTTGATTTTCTCATGCTGCACATGAACTGGTTATATGTTTCATCTAATGTTCTGACTATTTGCCTTTTTGTGTTTGTGTGTGTTTTTCCTTGTCTTGTTGAAAAGCCGGAATCAGCTTTCAACGTTGCCAGTTCACTTGTGCAGCCTGCCTTTGAAAGTTTTGATAGCAAGCAATAATAAGCTCGTCTCACTACCTGAAGAAATTGGGCAGCTAAGACACCTGATGGAGCTTGTAAGTTTATTTAAATCCTTAATTGTCAATCTTTTATCAAGGAAGCATTAGCTTTCCCCCCAAACTGATTGTTAGGTAGACACCTTTTATGAATCAGGGATATCCAGGGATTGCCACACTCTACTAAACATATGTTGAGTAATCAGGATAAGAATTCCAGTATAAACATCCTGATATATCTTGAAGGTTATCCAAACTCTGATGTGTCCCAGAACACACATTTTAACATGATAGTCATGACTGCAAACGGAGCAGGGTGAATGCTATTTTTGTGCTCTGTTTTTAAAGCTTGACATGCTTTCTTCAACCTTCCTAGAAATGAGTGGGATGGATAGGTGCCAAATTCTTGTGGTTTTCGTTTAGCTTTATGGTGAGCTGCTAAAGTGTGTTGAATTTGTTTAAACAATGAGATGTTGACACATTGAGAGCCACAAGTGATTTGTGTGTGTGTGTGTGTGTGTGCTTACATCCTTTTGACGGAATCGTTAGAATTATGGAGGTTATCATTGTATTTTCCACTGATAGCCTGTGGGCTTTCTGATGTGTTAACGTAGTAGCTATAATTAATTAATATGTTTGTTTGTTTATTTATACACCGCTTGATTGTAAAAATCCTAAAAGCGGTTTACAAAAATATTAAAACTATAAATTTGAGAAAAATTCACAACCTTACTTTAAAACAACTTTAAAAGTTGAACTACTGAAACAGATTAAAATTACCTCAATTTTCTAAGCATCCGGTAGGTTGTCTAAACAATGATGTTTTTAGCAGGCACTGAAAGAGTACTTGCTTGCTAGATCTCAATAGGCAGGGAGTTCCAAAGTGCAGGTGCTGCCACATTGAACGACTGAGTTCTTACAAATGGGTATTATGTGGCACCTGTAGCAGTGCCAGTCACGCCGATGGAAGCGGACGAGTGGGCACATGTAGGGAAAGGCAATCTCGTAGATAAACAGATAAACTGGTTCCAAGTTGTTAAGGGAGTTGTATACTAGGAGTATACTAGTTGGAGTATACTAGGAGTATACAATTCCAAGTTGTATACTAGGAGTAACACCTTGAACTTAGCCTGGTGGCAAATCAGCAACCAGCGCAGACCTCTGAGTACAGGTGTTACATGCTGACAGCAGTTGTGTTGCCGCATCCTCGCTGTGTGAGGGAAGCCCCACGTAGAGCGCATTGCAATAATCCATTCTTGAAGGGACCAACACATGAACTGCTGCAGCTAGGCTTTCCTGGCCCCAGAATGGCCACAGCTGGCCACAGCTGTCAAACCAGCTGGAGTTGGTCAAAGGCACTTCTAGCCGCTCAGGCTGCCTGAGCCTCCAATGGCACAGCTGGATTCAGAAGCACCCCAAACTGCGAACTTGCCCCTTCAGGGGGAGTGCAGCCCCACTCAGGGTAGGCAACTGACACGGGAGCTACTTGCCCACAGTGCCTCCATCTTGCCAGGCTTCAAGCTCAGCTTGGTTCTCCTCATCCATTTCACCAAGCTATCTGAGTGACATTTATTATTCAGTCTTTCACAGTTTTGTATTGGCAGGTCTTTTGGAATGCGTTTTTACAAAACTCCTTATTAGCTTTGATGTTTTAAAATTACAGGACTGTGCATTTATTACTACATTCCTGATTTGCATTTCTGGGCTGTACGTTCTGTTGTTTCCGGAGTATGTCTCTAGTAAATGATTAGCATATTTTGGTAGCCTCCTTCTTGCTGTTTTTAATATGCATGTATGCATTCCTGACCTCTGTAATTTGGGTATGACATCTGAAGGCAGCCCTGTTTAGGGAAGCTTTTAATGTTTGATGCATTGCTGTATTTTAATACAGTGGTGCCCCGCAAGACGAATGCCTCACAAGACGAAAAACCCGCTAGACGAAAGGGTTTTCCGTTTTTGAGTTGCTTCGCAAGACGAATTTCCCTATGGGCTTGCTTCGCAAGACGAAAATGTCTTGCGAGTCTTGCGATTTTTTTCCGCTCCCCCCCTTTTCTAAGCCGCTAATAGCCTTGTAGCCGCTAAGCCGCTAAGCCTTTAATAGCCGCTAAACCGCTAATAGCGCTAATCTGCTAAGCTGCTAATAGGGTTGCTTCGCAAGACGAAAAAACCGCTAGACGAAGAGACTTGCGGAACGGATTATTTTCGTCTTGCGAGGCACCACTGTATTTTGTTGGAAGCAGCCCAGAGTGGCTAGGGATGCACAGCCAAATGAGCGGGGTATAAATAAATTATTATTATTATTATTATTATTATTATTATTATTATTATGTCACCTGGCTTGTTTTTCTGACTGGTAGCAGCACCTTTGATGCTCAGAGGCTGGTTACTGAACTATTGTACATTCAAAGGATGCTGTGCATACCATGAGTTATTGATCCTCTCCAAAGAGGAGGTATTCTGCATGTGTGCAATGGGCTTAAATCTCGTGACTTTTCATTCACAAGACAAAGCTTTGAACTACTGAAATGGTGTTTATATCATGGTGCACATCATTAAAATCATTAAACCACAGCTCACTCCTCTTCATGATTTTCTAGGATGTAAGCTGTAATGAAATACAGACAGTTCCATCACAGATCGGCAGTTTATATTCTCTACGGGACCTGAACCTCAGAAGAAATCACCTGGTGCATTTACCTGAAGGTGAGAAATGCAGGGGAGAAGTTGTCTACAAACGCTCTTATTTCCAAAATCAAATTCTTTGCTACACGTGAATGTCTCATCTTCTTCTGCAGTTACCGTATTTTTCGCCCTATAGGACGCACCGGCCCATAGGACGCACGTAGATTTTGGGGAGGGAAATAAAGGAAAACATTTTTATTCCCACCCTCCCCCAGGCGCGGGGCTGGGGCAGGGGAAGCCCGAGCTTCCCCAGCCCCCAGAACGGGAGCCAGAGCGATGCCGAAGCTGCGCGCTTGCTGGGAGCTTGCTGGGCTGGGGGGATAGCTTCCTGAAGCCTGGAGAGGCGCACCGACCCCTCTCGCTCTCAAGGCTTCAGCGAAAGCCTGCATTCGCCCCATAGGACGCACACACACTTCCCTTTCATTTTTGGAGGGGAAAAAGTGCGTCCTATAGGGCGAAAAATACGGTAATTGACTACAGTGTTTTTCATGTGTGTGTCTTTTCTCCTACAGAGCTTGCCGAGTTGCCTTTGATTCGGTTAGATTTCTCCTGCAATAAAATCACAACAATCCCAGTTTGTTACCGTAACCTCAGGCACTTACAGACAATCACCCTAGATAACAACCCACTGCAGTCACCCCCTGCACAGGTAATGTATCATCTAATGTTAGAAGAATATTCTCAACCAGTTACAGATAGGTAGCCGTGTTGGTCTGCCATAGTCAAAACAAAAAAAATTCCTTCCAGTAGCACCTTAAAGACCAACTAAGTTAGTTCTTGGTATGAGCTTTCGTGTGCATGCACACTTCTTCAGATACACTGAAACAGAAGTTGCCAGATCCTTCTATATAGTGAGAAGGTGGGGAGGGGTATTACTCAGAAGGGTGGTGGGAATGGGTGGTTGGCAGATAGCTGTGATGAGCCTGTTGACGACTCTTTAACGACTGCAATAGGTCTTACAGGAAAAAGCAAGGGGTGAGAAGGTGAAAAATGGCTTTGTCATGTATAATGAGATAAGAATCCAATGTCTTTGTTCAGACCAGGTCTCTCCATGGTTTTAAGTTTGGTAATGAGTTGCAATTCAGCAGCTTCTCTTTCCAGTCTATTTCTGAAATTCCTTTGTAGTAAAACAAAGTAATTCTCAACCAGAATACACTTTCTCTTAAGGGTAGCAAAGAAGTCCATGGGAGGAAATATTTTACTTTTCAGCTTAATGCAAGCTTTGCATCAGCATTGCTAGAAGACCTCCTTGATGTGCTCTTTGTCTTAGGATACAATTCACTCTGGCAAATGAAAAATTCTTGGAAACAAATTACACATGCTGTTTAAACCTTAGCGTTGGGAAGCTGACATTTGCGTGCATTGCTTGAGATTTTGCTGTTTCTATGCTGACTGATGCACAGTGCACAAGCAAATAATGGTGCAGCAGATAGTGTGTGCAAACCACTACAAAAAAAACCAACAGCTGCTTATGTGTTTATACACACTGCACCCTCAGTGTAAGAATGCTGGCCAGAAATGATTGCTTATGCCAAAAAAGTTAGCGATCTTAGGAAAGATAGGACTAAGTTGCATAGGAGAGGACATATAATTCATATGACGTGTGTTTATATACAGTGGTACCTCGGGTTACATACGCTTCAGGTTACAGACTCCGCTAACCCAGAAATAGTACCTCGGGTTAAGAACTTTGCTTCAGGATGAGAACAGAAATTGTACTCCGGTGGCAGCAGGAGGCCCCATTAGCTAAAGTAGTGCTTCAGGTTAAGAACAGTTTCAGGTTAAGAATGGACCTCCGGAATGAATTAAGTACTTAACCCGAGGTACCACTGTACTCATTTGCTGGAGGAGAAATACTAAGCAGACAGTTTCATAACTGCAGAATGGTTCAGCCCAACTTCAGATGGTGGAGGCAGGCAAGTCACAAGAAGGCTATAAAATCAATGCCAGAACAGCTGCACTGCCTGCCCATGAACTTCCAGGAAGTATTTAAAGGTGTTGGTTTTATTGTGTGGAGCCATAAATGGCCTGGGAACATCATTACATTGTGAGCCACAGACCTCAGCACCCTAGCGTGTGTGTTGTGTGTGTACTAAAAGGTTCTTGCAAAATTTCCAGAAGACCCTTACAGTTCCTTACCTCACTCACTGAGGGCAGCATTTCAATCCTTGGGCAACAGTGGTAACAGCTGATTATTTTAGTTCTCATAGTGAAGGCAGTCAAATCCTGCCCCAACTCTAATTGCAAGAACAGCATGGACTCATATAGGGACAGCTAACCCTTTGTACTCTCATTTAATTGTATTATAACGTACTCTGTTTTATTTTATTTTTTTAAAAAGTCTTCCCCAAAACACCTCCCCCAGAGAAGCCTGCCCAGAGCCAGATGCTTCAGTCATCTGAAGGAGGGAAAGCATTATTGTTAAAATCTACATTGACCTGGTTCATATGCAACATTCAACCAAAATTACTTTTTATATCTGGTTTAATGTGAATTGAGTGAGCATGTTGGCGTACATTGCACAGACGTTCCCAGTTCCACCCTTCCCTGGCTCTTGTCGCAATGCCAGGTAGGAAACAAACCAAGGGCTGGCTTTCTGCTACCTGCAAACCAGCACCTGTGGTTTGCTGCTCTTCAAACGAGCCACGAGCTACAGCCAGGCTTCGTTCTTGGCTTGTTGCTCGTGGTTTGTTGAGCGATCTAATAAATAGGAAGAAGAACTCGAGGTGCAAAAATGTAGCTTATTTATAAGGGCAATAGGCATTTTGGAAAATTCATTCAAGGACACAGCATAAATAGAATAAGGAATAACAGATACAGAATTTTCTAAAAATTATAATAAAATACAAATAATGAATGTAGACTATTAGAGAATGTATCATCATAAGCTCACAGTAGCCAAATAAAAATACCAATTTTCTTTTGGTAATGCTTACCGCAAACATTAAAATATAATGGCATATATGTTAATCTAACAACCAAATTAAAAATATATTCCTAAATAAAAGATAACCCCCCCCAAATACATCCTTTCAAACTGAGAAAAAGCCTGAACAATAAAAAATAGCAATGATAAAAATATATAACCTAAAGTTCTCTGTAAGAATTCAGAATTATCATGATAACCAACATAGATAAAATGACCATTTTAAGCAGTAATTCTTTCACTCAGGGGATATTAACTCCTGTTGCATGAAGAATCCAAAATGAAACTTTTTATATCCACTTGAACCAATTGCCTGTGGAGACATGTGCTGCCAAATAGAGCAGAATTGGAAGGGGGAAATCTTCTTTCACCAGATGAACTGCTAAAGCCTAGTCAAATGAAATGGAAAGAGAACTTTAACCCCTTGCTAGCATAAAAGATCCTGAACATACATGAAGCGGTAGAATAAAGGATCTGGAAACAGATGGCGAAACAAAACAGAACAACGAAAGGGAACTCCTGTGAGTGCATTCACATCAAAGAGAGGAAATCCATTTTCTCATTGAGCCCTTTTGGGATTTGTCTGCGCAGGGCAAGGATCCAATACAGCTCTCTCTTTAAGAACAACCTGACATCATGCTGATGGATCATCTCAATGACCCAGTGTGTTTTCTCTCCTATGCCTCTTTTCAAAGCTCTTATGATCTGGCCAATGCAGATCATTTCACATGAGCACTTGAGGTTATTGTGTGCATTAACTTCAAAGGGTTTACTCTGAGTATGACTGGCTACAATATATATTATACTGTTACCCTGTTTTTCCTCTAGAGTACTCAGCTTAATTGTGGTTTGTAAACAATCTTTTGGACTGGCAATTTGTTCGGTGTTTAATTTTTTTTTTAATATAAAGAAATCTAATATATAATATATTAGTTGCAATAGATAGCAATTGTTTGTGTTATCATTTCCAAATATTCACGATGGTTTTCCCACCCCCCTTTTTTAAAAAAGATATGCATAAAAGGAAAAGTCCACATATTTAAGTATCTGAACATGGAAGCATGCAAAGTAGCGCCAGATCTTCCAGATTACGACAGGCGGCCAATGGGGTTTGGTTCTTGGTAAGTGCGTACAGATTTCAGATTCACTGTTTTTTAAAAGAATCTTTGTGGATAATTTTTCCTTTTCTGTATTAAGATGTTAGCTGGGCTTTGTTGTGGGGGCAGAGAAATCTCATTGTGCTGTATGATTAACCTTCTGTGCATGGTTGTATAAGATCTCTGGCCTAACCACAGGTGTAAGTGTTGATCTCCTTTCCCATGATGAAGCTGTGTTGCTCTTGGCAGCGTCTCCTTTTGGCTTAGCCAACATTCATCTCTGAGCGGTCAGCCGCATCATGATTTGCTAAATTAAGGTGATGGGGGCTAGGAATGCAGCTTGTGTTTATATCATGCAGTACTGAGTAATGCAAGTCGATGAAGCAAGGCCCTGGAGGAAGGAGAGAGAGCAGTGAGCACGCTGAACCACAGACAGTTTAAGGCAGGGCACGGAAGTCAAGGAAATACAAGTTGGAGAACCATAAATGCGTCAATGAGAAGCAGGCTAGTCTGGTTGTGGCCGGGTCTCAGTGAAAAGGGGAACTTGAGCAGCCAGCCAGAGAGTTCCTTCTCTAGTCTGGTCCCTGCATCCAAAAATACGTTTCATTACACAGCCAGTGTGGGCATTTTTGGGTATTCCGTTTGTTTTTTCAGAGTCTCGGTTTTTAATGTTAAAGCCTGTGTGTGTGTGAGTGTGTGTGTGTGTGTGTGTGTGAGAGAGAGAGAGAGAGAGAGAGAAGGGGTGGGGGGTGAGTATACAGTGGTACCTCGGGTTACATACGCTTCAGGTTACAGACTCCGCTAACCCAGAAATAGTGCTTCAGGTTAAGAACTTTGTTTCAGGATGAGAACAGAAATCGGGCTCTGGTGGTGCGGCAGCAGCAGGAGGCCCCATTAGCTAAAGTGGTGCTTCAGGTTAAGAACAGTTTCAGGTTAAGAACGGACCTCCGGAACAAATTAAGTACTTAACCCGAGGTACCACTGTACATCAAAATTGCCAGTAGGTTTTCCCAGGGGAATTATCCACCCCTTGCTGAACGGTGCAGCAGGGAAAGGGAGAAGGGGCAGCAGAATGCCCTGTGCCTTGGAAATGGAAACTGTGACCTTAGGCTCTAGAAAGGGCAATCCCGGCAGGAGAGCTGAGTGAGTGAGACAGGCAGATGTATTTGGCAACATCTGTGTAGTGCTTCCTCTTCCTGCCTGGTGCAGCCTTGCTAGTCAGGCCAGCAGAGCAGCAGCAGATAAATCAAAGGGAGGAGCAGGAGATGGTGGCAAGATGAGTGTGCAGCACTGGCTGCTACAACAATTCTGGCTGCCCCTACGGTGAATTTCTTGGCCCTGAGACAGTAAAATGCAGGAAACTCAGCCCTACAGCAGCTGTGCTTGTGGCGGCCTCTGTTTCTGGTTTTTAGTGCAAGGCTTCCTGTGACTGAGAACAAGCTGCCCTCTGCCCCAGCTAGGACTAATAATAATAATAATAATAATAATAATAATAATGCTGCCCATAAAACAATTAGGATATCCAATGTCGGGGCAGTAAAAAGAATAGCAATGAAAAAAACCTGGAGTAGGTCTAAGCGAGTTGTTTATTAAAATCTCCAATAAACTCCATGGTCTAGCCTACATATGAAGAGCAATGTATTCCCTGTGCAATAAAAATGTAGTTGAGTTTTTCTGTTGTTGTTGATGATGCTGATGTTGTTGTTGTTGTTGTTAATTTATTTCTTGTACCCCGCCCATCTGATTGGGTTGCCCCAGCTCCTCTGGGTGGCTTCCAACAAAATATAAAGGAACACACCAAAATATCAAACATTTGAGATGTTTGCAAAAAGTCATATGATTGTCTCTTTGCCCTTTGATGGGGGGGGGCATTCCACAGGGTGGGCACAACTACCAAGAAGGCCCTATATATTATGCCAGTTAAGCAAATCGGCTTATATTTGCATATTTTATTCTTCTGGTAGTCCTGGAAAGGGGGGGGATTATGTAGGGCATGGAATAACCTCCCATGATTACTTGAAATCCAGTTCAGTGAATCATCTGTCCACCCAATCAAGAAATCAGAATTTCAGCTTTTGAGACTTGACCAGGTGTTGCCCACTTGCTTCCAGACTTACCTTTTCTCAGAAGTTGCTGTATTCTAAAATGGAAGTGTTGAACTCTGTGTTCTTCAGCAATTGCATGGTACAGTTATAGAGTACCCACATCCTACTTAATACAATTGCATGGAGAATCACCGTAGTAAGAGTTGCACAGACTCAGCTCTGTTGTCATCATTAATCAGGAATACTCTAACACAAGGGTCAGCAACCATTTTCAGCCGGGGGCCGGTCCACCGTCCCTCAGACCATGCGGTGGGCCGGACTATATTTTGAAAAAAATAATGAACGGATTCCTATGCCCCACAATAACCCAGAGATACATTTTAAATAAAAGCACACATTCTACTCATGTAAAAACACACTGATTTCCGGACCATCCGTGGGCCGGATTGAGACAGCGATTGGGCCGGATCCGGCCCACGGACCTTAGGTTGCCTACCCCTGATCTAGTCCAGCCCCCTGCAATGCATTAGGAATCTCAGCTAAACCATCCATGACAGATGGCCATCCAACCTCTACTTGAAAAACCCCAGTGATTCTACCACCTTCCTGCTCTTAATACATTTATGACAACAACCGTCCCACTGTATAGTTTCCTAGCCCAGAAACTTTTCATTTTTATTTTTTTTTATAAAATTTTTATTGGTTTTTCACAGTTTTTATAAACACAAACAATACACAAAACAAACAAACACACAAACACACAAACAAACATGTATAATTTCATATCCCTTTTTCTTAAACCTTACTTCGCTGACTTCCCCATACCTCCCCTTTCTACATCCCAATTTCCAGAATTATTTCAGCAAATCCTAACACTTGGTTTTATTAAATTTTCCCTTATTCTTTTCTTTTACTTAATCTTTTACAGCTGTAGTCTCCTTTCCCCCCCCTAAAACCACGACATTTTAACATTCATTAATTTTGCCATATTTCTTTGGATAAACTTTAAATTTCTTCCAATCTTCTTCCGCCGTCTCTTTCCCCTGATCACGGATTCTGCCAGTCATTTCAGCCAGTCCCATATAGTCTATCACCTTCATCTGCCATTCTTCCAAAGTGGGTAGATCTTGAGTCTTCCAATGCTTTGCGATAAGTATTCTTGCTGCTGTTGTAAGCCCGGAAACTTTTCATGCTCTTCCCCACTTGCTGCTGGCCTGACATTTGTATGCACATGATGTATTGTAACAGGTCGGCATTGCCACGTGCAGAGTTCGCCTTGCGCTTGGTGGCGCAGCGTGGACCGCAGACTGCAGGAGCAGCAGCTCTTTGGTTCTCAGAGCGTGCAAAGGCAGCAGGCCGGATTGAGAAGGCAATTGGGCCACATCCAGCCCCCAGGCCTTAGGTTGCCTACCCCCTCTTAACACTACATATACATGCAGAGAAGAAGTGAGACTTGCCACAGTAGGTGTATTAATGGCAACCTGCCGGTTCTGACACATTGGCTGCCGTCTGGCTTGAAGTACTTAATGCCGGCAGTCCTAATGTTTGCAGCACACTTCCTGTAAACATCTGTTGCTGAGCTCTGCCCTCTTAGATTGCAGCTCTCTCACAGCGGAGACTCTTCTGCACACACGGTGCCACATAATTAATAATTACAAGTTGCATTCCAAGCAACTGATTTTCAATGCAAGTGACAACCAGCCGCAGCCTAATCAGCAATTAGCAACGCCTGGGTGGAGCCGTCCGTTTGCTGAACTTCCCATTTGCCCATTATTACTGTCTTGCTACAGATTTCCCTGGGGCATCTAGTGCCAGTAGGATAGTTGATTCATTGTTAAATGCCCATTTGCAGTGGGCCAGGCGAGCCTCATTGTTAAGTCTCTGCTGTCTGTGGCAGTTTCCATATACTGTGTCTGTGATGGCCGCAGTATTGAACTGTCTAGTCACTATGTCCATTTAGAGCAGAGATAGCTTACTCTGTGCTCTGTACAGTGGTGCCTCGCAAGACGAAATTAATCCGTTCCGCGAGTCTCTTCGTCTTGCGGTTTTTTCGTCTTGCGAAGCACGGCTATTAGCGGCTTAGCGGCTATTAACGGCTTAGCGGCTTTAAGAAAAAGGAAACAAACTCGCAAGAACTCGCAAGACGTTTCGTCTTGCGAAGCAAGCCCATAGGGAAATTCATCTTGCGGAACGACTCAAAAAACGGAAAACCCTTTCGCCTAGCGAGTTTTTCGTCTTGCGAGGCATTCGTCTTGCGGGCACCACTGTATCTTCTTGCTGAGTTCCTAGTACCATGGATGTCATGCCTGTTTCTGGCAATAAATTAAATGCATAAAAACTTCCCTCAACTTGCTTCAGGGCTGATTTGAAACACCTTCAAAATATTTTATGAATTAATAATGGTTAACTTTTTAAAAATGCATTATTTAATATTTTGAGTATAACCATGTTCCAGTTTTTGTGAACCATATTGAGTTCAGACATTTTGGGTATAATTCAGCATTGCGCTACTACTGACATTCTGTCTGCACAAGCATATCAGCCTGCTAGACATAATCTTCCTGCCTCTCTGCACACTGTTCTGGGGGTTCTCTTCGACAGCTCCCCCCCCGGTCAGTTTCAAGGGTACATGGGTAGAGGAGACATGGGAAAGCCCTGTTTTGAAGATGGAAGCCCTTGTGGAAGGTTTCCACCGATGGGGCTCATTAGGCAAACCCCCCACTATTCACTATGTAAATGACATCTCCCCTGACCGTTAGGTCCAGTTGCGGATGACTCTGGGGTTGCGGCGCTCATCTCGCTTTATTGGCCGAGGGAGCCGGCGTACAGCTTCCGGGTCATGTGGCCAGTATGACTAAGCCGCTTCTGGAGAACCAGAGCAGCGCATGGAAACACCGTTTACCTTCCTACAGAGCGGTACCTATTTATCTACTTGCACTTTGACGTGCTTTCAAACTGCTGGGTTGGCAGGAGCAGGGGCCGAGCAACGGGAGTTCACCCTGTTGCGGGGATTCGAACCTCCGATTTGAACCACCAACCTTCTGATCGGCAAGCCCTAGGCTCTGTGGTTTAGACCACAGTACCACCCATCTCTTATATGCCCTTAAAAGCATTTCATACTGGGTTTCTGCAGGGTATCCCGTATAAGTGGCTGCTGCTTACATGGCCTCGGTCCAGTATATCTGAAGGAGCATCTCTACCCCCATCGTTCTGCCCAGACTCTGAGGTCCAGTGCCGAGGGCCTTCTGGCAATTCCTTCACTGCAAGAAGCCAAGTTACAGGGAACCAGGCAGAGGGCCTCCTCGGTAGTGGCACCCACCCTGTGGAATGCTCCCCCCACCAAATGTCAAAGAGAACAACAACTACCAGACTTTTAGAAGACATCTGAAGGCAGCCCTGTTTAGGGAAAATTTTAATGTTTGATGCATTACTGTATTTTAATACTTTGTTGGAAGCCGCCCAGAGTGGCTGGGGAAGCACGGCCAGATGGGCGGGGTATAAATAAATTATTATTATTATTATTATTATTATTATTTATTTATTTATTTATTTATTTATTTATTTATTTATTTATTTATTTATTGAAAATGATGGTATACAACATTCTAGCCCATCTCCAACACAAACTAGGGCTGTGTACATGTTGCACCTTGAAGCACAATTTTCCCCTCAAAGAATTCTGGGCATTGTAGTTTACCACTTACGAGTTACAGATTTTTTTTGAGGGGGGGAAATGTGCATTGAAATGTAGTTGTTTTTCTTGGATGGAACCTTTCAGCTGAAGCACCAGAGTTAACCCCAAATTAGTATCAATGTATATATTTTAATTAAATCCCATTTTTTCTTGTCTTCCGTGAAGCCCAAAGTGACTTTTAAAGGGCTGCTCTTATTTTGATGTTTTTGTCCCCTGTGTTCTGAGTGCTGTGCAGACCATAGACATGGCCCTTATGTTTTCTCCCTGAAGAACATGGCTGCCCATTAAAGTTTAGGCAAAGATGACAGGGAAAATGTGCCACAGTAAAGGAGCAGCAAAGGTTCAGCAGTGGCTGGTAGACCTTGGTTTGTAGAGGAGCTACTCTTGCCAAGATGGCAAGTTGTACTCTTTTGCAGTGCTTGAGAATTGTTTTGGTGGTGGCTGAATGCTTTGCAGGCCAAGGCAACTGATCATCAGCCCAAACATTTGGCTAGCAGAAAGGAACATTTCTCAGTCTGGAAGAACAAGACCTCTTTAGCTGGATCGCATTATGTATGGAAAAATGCAGTATGACTAACAGGTTGAATATGTCCCCCGGTACTGTCTGGTATCTAATCTTCTCCCCCCAAAAAATCTCGTTTGCTTTTTGCAATAAAATAACTAACATTTTATATGCTTGACAGCCATGAAGAGCTATATTCCAGCCGACCATATGGAGCACTGGATTCTGGCTTCAATAGTGTGGACAGCGGAGACAAAAGGTGGTCAGGAAATGAAGTAAGTATACTTGTTTTGTTTCTATTTGGTGGATAATTGTAGCATACGTGAAAAGGAAAAAATCAGGCAGAACAGCCGTGGAAGACTCAATTGCTAAAATGCATAGGGCTGCAATTTTGCAACGGCTTATTCCGCAGTCATCCAAGGACTGAGGCCAGTGTGCCATTTCCACATCTGAGATTATTTTCAATCTGATAATGGTGGTGCAGGAAAGGACTTGCAAGCACTGCTCTTTGCTCCACATTTCATTTCAAAACTCTTTAAATTGAAAACAATACAAACTCACAAAAAGTGCACTTTGTCTACATGTGATTCAGATCACTGGAGTGACTTGAAGGAGGAGCTCTTTCTAACATTAGATTAGAGTGCTGCAGATCTTGTTTTCGCAGTGGCGTAGCGTGGGGGGTGCAGGGGGGGCCGGCCGCACCGGGCGCAACATCTGGGGTTAGGGCAAATCCACGGGTTAGGGGGCGCAAATCCACGGGTTAGGGGGCGCAAATTACTTGCCTTGCCCCGGGTGCTGACAACCCACACTACGCCACTGTGTTTTCGTGGACGTATTTCACAATCTTTGTTTTCTTAATTGTCCGGTGTATTTTTTCAATGAAGCCTACAGATGAATTTTCTGATCTTCCTCTGCGAGTGGCAGAAATCACAAAAGAACAAAGACTGAGAAGAGAGAGTCAGTACCAGGAACACCGAGGGAGCATGGTTGTCACCAATGGTGGAGGTAAATGGCACTGAGAAAAAAGCCACCAGTGCATATTTGGTTGCTCCCACGTTGCATGGCAAGATTCTGGTGCGCTTCGTGGAGCATCATCTATGTCCAAGAAGTATCTTTTCAGACCTATTTTATTTTACCCCTTTGTCTTAAAAAGCTCTATATGCAGCTTAACTGGAGGAGCCAAATGGCATTTTTACGCAGCCAGGATGATGGAGGAATCTTTATTTTAGTTTCTCCTTCAAATGCTGATAAGTGGAATGACTGCAAGTAGCTCCTAGGAGAAGAGAATCCAAACAACACTTGGTTCCACTACCACAAGAAGCTGTAAAAGATTGAGGACCAGGAAACAGTAACCTTTAACTGAGGGAAATTGGGTCTCTTTGAGTTTGCTATATCTTCCAGCATAGCACCTTTAAAAAATAATTTAAAAACCTGTTGACTTGCTCCTTGTGTAATTTGCTTCTTATCTGCGCTATTCTAAAGGATTTTGGATACTGGGTCGTGCAGTATTTTCATAAGGTTTGCTGCAACAACAACATAGCAAAGCCTTATTGGGCTTACAGAAGCAGTGATGAATAAAAAATGCCCCAGTTAACATAATGAGTGGAGGGATCAATGAGAGCAGACCTTTCTGAGCTTCATGCTCTTGTTGTAGCTTTCATACACTTCTAAATGTGTGTGAGTCCCTCCCACCATCTTATTCCTTTTACAATCCCTTCCTCTTAACCTTCTGCTTTCTTAATTTCACATTTTATATGTGAAGGTAGCCAAAATAAAATATAATTGCAGGCTTGACTGCAAGCATCATCTTTGGTGTTTGCAGAATAATCTAACAAACCAAAAGCTGTTCTAACATTTCATTTTACAGATACAAGTTGGTCAGAACAGTATTGCTTTGCATGTTAATGTGCATGTCTCACTTACCAATTCACAAAGGTGCTTCAGAGGTTTCTGAGTTCGCATCTTGATTAGAAGCCAGAAATACCCGTAACTTAAAGCACTTATTTGGATATAGATAGCAAAAGTCTAAGCAACTTGTGTCTGCAAAATACAACATTAGATAGAATTGGGATGCAAGATGACCTTAACAGATTGGAGAACTTGGCCCAAACCAGCAAAATGAATTTCAACAGGGACAAATATGAGGTTCTGCGCTTAGGCAGGAAGAACTAACTGCACAAATATAAAATGGGGGACACCTGGTTTGCCAGTAGTACATATGAAAAGGATTTAGGGGTCTTAGTAGACCACAAGCTTAACATGAGTCAACAGTGTGATGCAGCAGCAAAAATAAGCTAACACTGTTCTAGGCTGCATCAACAGAAGTATAGTGTGCAGATAAAGGGAAGTAATACTACCACTCTATTCTGCCTTGGTCAGACTACACCTGGAGTACTGCGTTTAGTTCTGGTTGCCACAATTTAAGAAGGGTGTTGACAAGCTAGAAGGTGTGCAGAGGAGGGCAACCAAGATGATCAAGGGTCTGGAAACCAAACCTTATGAGGAATGGTTGAGGGAGTTGGGTGTATTTAGCCTAAAATAGGATACTGAGAGGAGATAGAGGAATCAAGCTAGGAAGCTGGGACCCGAACCAATGGATTCAAGTTACAAGGAAGGAGATTCCAACTAAACATCAGGAAGAACTTTCTGATGGTAAGAGCATCTTCAGCCGTGGCCATCTCTAGTGAATGCTTTAGTTGAGTTTTCTGCATTGTAGGGAGTTGGACTAGCTGACCCTTTGCATTCCTTCCAGCTCTACAATTCTACGGTTCTATAGTCTTGAGAGACTAATATTGCTACTCACCACTAATAGATCATTCTTGGCAAGTAAGCCAAAGTGCAGGTGGAAAAGAGTTTTTCAATTTAATGTGTGTTACGTAAGTGAATTGCTGTAAACTATTCATTTCTGGTTACATTAGTGAGCAATAAAACCCTAGCATGGTGGGATTTTTCTTTGTCTATAATGCATTCTAAAGTATGAAATGGCTCTTTGTTTAATATTAGTTGGAAATCTCCTCCCAATCAGCAGTTTTTAGAAAGAGCTTGATCTATAGTTTGCTGGATGATTGTATGAGCCACTCTGCAGCGAGAGATTTCTTGAATAAATATGGTCAGACCTGATGGAGCTGCTGCAGCCTAAGTTCTGTTAACTCTCTCTGCGCCTCCCCCTTCCCCCAGCTGCTTATCTAATTACGGTCCTTCTCTTTGTATATGCCAAGTGGAACATGATCTGGATCAGATCGACTTTATTGACAGTTGTGTCACCGAAGAGGAGGAGGAAGAGGTGAGGCAACCCAAGTGCATGGAGTCAGACAGCCTCAGCTCACAGTTCATGGCATATATTGAACAACGGCGAATATCTCACGAGGTGGTGCTTCCTTTTAATTTGTGTGTGTGTGTGTGCCCCTGTGAAATCCCCTTTTCTTTGTGTTGTTTCTCATCCACAGTGGCTATTATTGGTTGACTTTTAGATCTGGAGATTCAGTGTTTTTGGAGCAGTCCCGATGCTGTGCTTTCGGCTACTGACTCAAAGCACTGTGCTCTGGGGTCTTGTAGGTGTTCAAGGTGCTAGTTTTGACTGCAATAGAGTCTCAATGGATATCTGCTCAATTGGCCTTTCTCTCCCATGTACTGGGACGCGGATGGTGCTGTGGGTAAGAGCCTCAGCACCTAGGACTTGCTGATCGTCAGGTCGGCGGTTCGAATCCCCGCGGCGGGGTGCGCTCCCGTTGCTCAGTCCCAGCGCCTGCCAACCTAGCAGTTCGAAAGCACCCCCGGGTGCAAGTAGATAAATAGGGACCGCTTACTGGCGGGAAGGTAAACGGCATTTCCGTGTGCTGCGCTGGCTCGCCAGATGCAGCTTGTCACGCTGGCCACGTGACCCGGAAGTGTCTCCGGACAGCGCTGGCCCCCGGCCTCTTAAGTGAGATGGGCGCACAACCCCAGAGTCTGTCAAGACTGGCCCGTACGGGCAGGGGTACCTTTACCTTTACCTCCCATGTGCTATGTCCATGGTGGTCCGTGCAACAGTCTGGGTGCAGAATCTGAGAAGTATCCAATGGGACGTTGCCTTACTTTCCTCCTCTCTCCACCCACCCCCCTCCTTACGTGCCCAAAAATCTGTTCCAGATTTTGAGGCTGCATGGGTCTGCAGGAGGGAGGAGAGGAAGGTGAAATCCCATTTATGTGAGCAAAAGTCTGTTCTGCTTGCACACAGACAGTTTTCCAATGCTGTATAGCCTCACCTCTCATTACCACCCCCACCCCTAAATCCAAATTAGGGTGCTACAAGCGGGGGGCGGGCAAGCAAGGGCTTTTTTCAGAGGTACTTGGGTGTGTAATAATAATCATATGGTGCTTTGCTATCCTTTTATTGTAGGCAGTTTTATGCCACTTCATTGTATATATCAAATCCATTCTGATCTGCTTTTAAGAGTTTTCTTTAGCTAGTCTGCATTTGCATCCTCCTTGGGTGGGTGTACCTCAGATATTGTCTCATCAGCAACCAGAGTGTGGATCCAAGTCCATCCACTAATCTCAGGAGGGGGGGGGTGCAGGCCTCTTGGCCTGTTAGCACAAATCCACCCCTCCCAGTATACTGTCATGGCAATTTCTGATGCCCCAAGGGAAGGCAAAAATAAAGGTCAAGCATCTGTAAAGTATGACTTTTCTGGCTTCCTAAGAAATAAAGACATTCAACAAGTTTTGGGATTTATTCTTGGAACATAAGATTGAACAATGTACAGTCTGTGTCCTTAAGTATTGTGCTGTTTTAAATCTGCCCCATGGTATTTCAACTGAAAGGTTACAATTAAGAAATCCAGGCTCATTTCCTTGTACCAGCATTCTCACTTTAGCGTCTCCAGTTGTTTTGTGGGCCAGCCTAAAGGAAGCATCTCTTCCCCATAATGAGAAGAGTAGGGAGATATTTTCTTCATTTCACATAATTAGATGCATAGCTTTACTGTAACAAAAAAATTAGGTCCAGAAAACAGAACTGAATCCCCATTGTTCTGTTATATTGTGCCTTCTGGTTTTTCAAAATTAGACCAGTTTAGTTTTTATGCCACAAAATGGAGCGAGCTTCTTGAATGAATGAGCTCAGCCATTTTGGGACGGCATGCTCCTTGAGATAACAGTGTGTTTTTTTGAACCTTTTTGAGCATGCTTTTTATAGGGCCAGTTTGATTACAAACACCAACTTTGAGAGTTACGTGGTTGTTCATTCTGTCATACTCTGCAATAATCCTGAATCAGCGTAAACAGGTCTTTGGGGGAATGTATACAAGTGCCCTTCTATGCCACTATTAAAGTAACACTGCAGTGGCTACTTCGCTTTAAAAAAACACACAAAAACACAACCAAACACCTCTGGTTGGAAGCAGCTAAATGGCTGTAGTTTATAGGCAGTTAAATGCTGAGGCCAGTTGCCTTGTGTTTAACTCATAGGCAGTTAAATGCTGAGGCCAGTTGCCTTGTGTTTAACTCAAAAGAGTGCATCCGTCGTTGCAATTCTGAAAACTTTATAAGATTTCCCTCTTGACTGTGCTCTGCATGTGCCACCTGTAAAGAAAAAGTACAGCACATTACATATTTTGTGGCTTCCTGCAGCTCTGCAAATCCTCCGAACTAGACATGCTTATAAGACCTTCTCTTCAGGCTGGCTTTTTAATAGATGCAGCTAAGCTGGCACAGGGGCAGTTTGGGATTTTGATGGATTCAGTGCTATGTGGGAGAACATGCCAATGTATTTTTGGATGCATGTTTCTAATCTGGAGATATATTTGAATTAATAGAGCTGTTAAAATGCTCTCCAAACGTTAGAGTGTGTGCTTTGTTTAAAGCTGAAATGCTTGACTGGTTCAAAGTAAACTTAGCAACCTTTGGAAGGGTACTTAATGGCAGTGCGCGATATAATATTGGCTCTTTTTTGCGGTCTTAAGTGTCTCCTTTAAAACTAAGGGCAGTGGGGGTAGAATTCACTTTGGTTTTGGCCTTTTAACTGCTGTGGGCATATTGAGGGGCAAAGGACCCCCTCCTGTTACCATCTGGACTGTAGGAAAGGAAGGGCTCTTAATAAGCCTAAAATCACTAGGAAATGTTAAAGTAATACATTTATTCCTCCATGGCCTCTAATCTAAACCTTTTCTGCATTAATGGGAGGCTTGAAACAGTGGGCTGCATCCCATGTGTGCAGGCAGCCTGCACGGGATAATCTTCTACTTTGCTTAACAAGTAGCCCATTCTGTAATCGGATTACAATTTGTGCCTTCACATATATGTTACAATGCGAAACTGGGTTGAAGTGCATTTTGTTTGGTTTATTGTTGTCCCAGGGATCTCTTCCACTTCATATCCCACGCATATGTACTTGGGGGCCCAACATAACCGCCATTATTCTCTTAAGGCTAAGCGGCAGTGAGACTTGCAGTTCCTTAATTACCGGGATGATCTTCCAATTGAGTGCACTGGGGTTCCCCCGGGGGCTGAATATGCTGCTTTTGTGTACTGTGGGATAATACCGCCATGTCTGTGGGCCAGCTTAATTGCTATTTGTTCAGTGGTTGGCTAAAAAGGTCCTTTATATTTCCCCCCCAATTTCCATTCTTGAAATTGCAGTGGCTCATATTTCTTCTGACCGTATATTAGTTCCGCAAGTCCAGTAATGAGACAAGAAGGATCACGTTGCTGCCCAAGGCATAATTCAGGAGGAGACCCGTAGGCTGCTAAAATCCAGAATTCTCTTCAGAGTTAGCGAGGGGGCGCCAGCTCTTAGTGAAAAATAAATGTGTGTGTGTGTATGAACTCAAACCACTTTAAATTACAACAGTATTTTGGAAAATAGTACCTAAGAACAAATGGGTCATTTATAGATTTTGTTTCAGTAAACGAGATTGTTAGTTTGAGAATTAGTGGCCTTTAAGATCTCTAGATCAAAATTAATTCATGCGAGAAAAATACTAGACAGGAGGAAGTTAAGGATTTTGCTTTAGGAAAATGGGTTAATTTACATTCAGTGGACGCCTTCATCTGCCCCTGCCGCAATAAAACAGCTCTTTTCAGCCACAGCAGGCACTGTAATTCTCCAACGGTTTGACTTTACCTCCGATGGCTGACTCTTCCATCGTCTCTCGAGACAGATGGATGCAAACAACCAGTTTAACAATGGTCAGTGGTGGTACTGCCATTATGGAATTTCCTCACCTTTAGGTTCAGCATAGGCTCAACATTGAACTAAGGTCAGGGCTAACTGTGGTTTATTACTTTAATCCCAGTTAGGAGTTTAAAAGTAGACTAAAACTGTAGTTTTCCTTCCTTGAAGGGGTGTGCTCAGGAAATTAACAGCTTGAGCTGCTTGTCGCCTTGCAAGCAGAGAGGCAGGAAAACTGTCTTGGTCGCGATTTAATCTGTGCAGATGTAGTACTTAGGGCAAGCCATGATTTGCAAACCCAAATCCTGGCTTTAGGACAACCCTTAACTGCTGTTTAGGCATTCACACATTACCTTAAGCCATGGTTGATTAGTTTTGTCTAGAGTGGGGCATTAGCAAACCTGTTGAAATTTTGCCGGCATATGAAATTCCATGTCCTTTTTAAGTAGTGTACCTCATGAGAAAAGTGGGTAATACATTTAAAAATAGCTCTTTTTCATCCCCATGTGAATTGAAGTTGGCAGATTTGAAAATCTAAACAAGACAACACTTGGGTTTATAAAACTGACAAGGACCAAATACTAAAACCAAAAATACTCATTTTCATACAGCACAGTGCTTCACTTCCTCCTGTCTAGTATTTTTCTCACACTGATTAATTTCGATCTGGACAACTTAAAAGGCCACTAATTCTCAAGTTTGGTGCGATTGGTAGACTTGCTCTGGCAAAGGGAGCTGACATTTGGAACCATCCACAATGCACTAGAAATAATTATTTTTGTATCTCATTTCTTCCTTCACTAAGGGGTCACCAGTAAAACCAACACCCATCCGGGAATTCCACAGGTCAGAAGATGCCAGAAGATACTTGCATCATAGTAGGTGAGTACTTTTGTCAAGAGAACAAGCTGGCCATCACAAATACTCTTTTCCAACAACACATCAAGAAGAGGTGGCAAGAATACACAGAGGAATTATACCAGAAAGATATGGATTTCTCGTTCACCCCAGGTAGTGTGGTTGCTGACCTTGAGCCAGACACCCTGGAGAGTGAAGTCAAATGGGCCTTAGAAAGCACTGCTAAGAACAAGGCCAGTGGAAGTGATGATATTCCAGCTGAACTATTTAAAATTTTAAAAGATGATGCTGTTAAGGTGCTACACTCAAAATGCCAGCAAGTTTGGAAAACTCAGCAGTGGCCAGAGGATTGGAGAAGATCAGTCTACATCCCAATCCCAAAGAAGGGCAGTGCCAAAGAATGCTCCAACTACCGCACAATTGCACTCATTTCACACGCCAACAAGGTTATGCTTAAAATTCTACAAGGCAGGCTTAAGCAGTATGTGGATCGAGAACTCCCAGAAGTGCAAGCTGGATTTCGAAGGGGCAGAGGAACCAGAGACCAAATTGCAAACATGCGCTGGATTATGGAGAAAGCTAGAGAGTTCCAGAAAGACATCTACTTCTGCTTCATTGACTATGCAAAAGCCTTTGACTGTGTTGACCACAGCAAACTATGGCAAGTTCTTAAAGAAATGGGAGTGCCTGATCACCTCATCTGTCTCCTGAGAAATCTCTATGTGGGACAAGAAGCTACAGTTAGAACTGGATATGGAACAACTGATTGGTTCAAAATTGGGAAAGGAGTACGACAAGGCTGTATATTGTCTCCCTGTTTATTAAACTTATACACAGAATTCATCATGTGAAAGGCTGGGCTGGATGAATCCCAAGCCGGAATTAAGATTGCCGGAAGAAATATCAACAACCTCAGATATGCAGATGACACAACCTTGATGGCAGAAAGTGAGGAGGAATTAAAGAACCTTTTATTGAGGGTGAAAGAGGAGAGCGCAAAATATGGTCTGAAGCTCAACATCAAAAAAACGAAGATCATGGCCACTGGGCCCATCACCTCCTGCCAAATAGAAGGGGAAGAAATGGAGGCAGTGAGAGATTTTACTTTCTTGGGCTCCATGATCACTTCAGATGGTGACAGCAGTCACGAAATTAAAAGACGCCTGCTTCTTGGGAGAAAAGCAATGACAAACCTAGACAGCATCTTAAAAAGTAGAGACATCACCTTGCCAACAAAGGTCCGTATAGCTAAAGCTATGGTTTTCCCAGCAGTGATGTATGAGAAGAGAAGACTCCCTGGAAAAGACCCTGATGTTGGGAAAGATGGAGGGCACAAGGGGAAGGGGACAACAGAGGACGAGATGGTTGGACAGTGTTCTTGAAGCTACCAGCATGAGTTTGACCAAGCTGCGGGAGACAGTGGAAGACAGGAGTGCCTGGTGTGCTCTGGTCCATGGTTTCACGAAGAGTCGGACACGACTAAACGACTGAACAACAACAAATTTTGTTCCATACGCTCAGAGCTTAGGAATCAGCAAGGTGAATCATGCTGCAGTGTGAGGAACATGTCACCTGATAAATTGGGTGCCATTTCTTTAGTCTTGTGATCACAAAGTGTTGCATTTTTAGCACAGGGTCCCAGAGTCTTTGCATATATTGCCTTACTGGGCCAAATGCAAACATAATGTTTCTGTCCTTGCAACCATGGTTGAGAGATCAGGAGCCCCTCAGGGTGAGGGTTTTTATACTCCTTGCCCCCTAACACGTGCGATTCCCCTCCACCATTCCCGTTCCATAGCAGTATTGCATCTGCACCTTTGTTAGCAATCACCATACTTAGAAGTGGGGGTTGAAAAGTAATTTGTTATAACGATGGTTGCCATTAATTTTCGGTGTATACCTATTACCAGGTCTGAAAAGGGAAATGGAGGGGGGTACACGCAAGAGACCAGTAGTGATGTATGGAAGTGAGAGCTGGACCATAAAGAAGGCTGATCGCCGAAGAATTGATGCTTTTGAATTATGGTGCTGGAGAAGACTCTTGAGAGTCCCATGGACTGCAAGAAGATCAAACGCATCCATTCTTAAGGAAATCAGCCCTGAGTGCTCACTGGAAGGACAGATCGTGAAGCTGAGGCTCCAGTACTTTGGCCACCTCATGAGAAGAGAAGACTCCCTGGAGAAGACCCTGATGCTGGGAAAGATGGAGGGCACAAGGAGAAGGGGGTGACAGAGGACGAGATGGTTGGATAGTGTTTTCGAGGTTACCAGCATGAGTTTGACCAAACTGCGGGAGGTAGTGGAGGACAGAGGTGTCTGGCGTGCTCTGGTCCAGGGGGTCACGAAGAGTCAGACACGACTAAACGACTAAACAACAACAACAACACACGCAAGAGAAGAAGGAGAGGCATATGCAAATAGCCATGGTTAAGAATCTGATAACATCATGTCTGCACCAGGTTATGGTGTGTTACTGATTATAGTACAATCCTTTTATTGGGTTGTTGGGTGCAGAAGTATTTTGTCCCACATAATACATGATCGGTGTCAGCAGTAAGTCTTCACTATTCACCATTTATGGCAATAATGCTCCCAGTTTTTGTTAAGCAGAAGCAGCGTTGCTTCATAAATGAAGCTTCGCAGCTTGTAAGGAACCATTTTTTCCGGAACAGAAAGAAGAACCTGCTAGACTATTATTCACCATGGGATGTTACAGAATAACGCTCCTTGAAATCCGAGTCTTTAAAAGGGTTTCCCCTGCCCCGCTCCCGGTTCCATAGCTGATCCAAATGTAGCAGGGACTGCTAAAACAAAGCAAATGTACTTTTTGAAGAGTTTGTGTGCTTGGTAGATAAGCTTTTAATTACCTAACCAAAAATGGGCATGATGGTGATGAGCCTGAGCTGGGACCCTGGGAGCTTAAATTAGAACAAGGCATCCGAGTGGGATGGTGCCTCAGACTGGCTTATGTTAACAAAATCTCTATTGTTGGTTATCAGGATAAATATAGATCTGGTTAAGTTCATGCCAGCTTAAACTGCCTTATTCATGATATTCCAAACCAAGCTTAAGATTCATGGATGGAGAGCAGGAAACGGTTCGTTGGCTGCTGGTGGGGACGCTGCTAATGAATGCTGCTCGCTTTGGGGGAGAACCGATGCTGCTTTACAAATTGCCATTGTCCGCCTGGATGTTTGCCTGGTCTGTTCCCCCGTCCTCAACTCATCCTTTGTAAATAAGCAGATATTACAGATCACCGAAGTGCGGCAAGTCTCCAGCACACTCTCCCCATGAGAGAGCTAAAACCCTGTGGAAGACTGACCCTGGCGCTTCCTGGTGCTCAGTGAAGTGGGGGAGCACAGGACAATGTAGTTCATTTAATGAGAATGTCATCAGCTGCAGCTAAAGTGAAGGATCTGTCAGCTTTGATAAATCTGTTTCTCCACTTTGCCTCGAGTGGGAGCTTAGTATGCAGGCCGAGAAGAGAATCTCATTTTCTTCAGAGTAGCAAAAAAGAGTATGTCACTAGAAATTTAAAAGCAAGATATCCAAATGAAATTTGATGCTTTGTGGTATACATTCAAAGTGCAAATAAACTTTTAGAGCTGAACTTGATCTTGCCATTTATGTTCTCTCTCACCCAACCTGATAATTGTGGTTAAGGGTGATTAACTACATCGGTTTTGTTCAGTTTGAATGTTTTTATTTCTGAAGAAATCCTATCTTTCTTCATCTTTTCAAAATTCCATTGCCCAAGGCAACTGATTCTGCACTCTACTACCCATATTGAATTTAGTTGCTGTTTAGCCCTAAAACATGAACATTTTAGGCCTGGTTATCTTAATTTTACTATTTTCTTAAAAGGGTTTGCTCTGTCTACTCATATGCTGTAACATTTCTTCCATTTTCTTTTTTCCATTTTCTCTGGGTCAATTACCACTACCACCCACTGTGTATTTGTGTTTTCAGAGATGGAGATGAATTAAGACGACCTGAAAGTCTGAGCTTGACACATGACAGAGACCGACAGCAACTTCTGAGGAACTGCTTAGACCGAGCAGAAAGGTAAGGCTGTGAGTGATATGTGGTGCCCCTCATTTAAAATGAAGTGCAGGTCTGGCCCATTGTGCAAATAAGCTTTCTTTGAAAGCAAGCTACAGCCGTGGCATCCTATGTAAAATTGATTGCACAGACCATTTACTGTTGCCTATGGCTTAATCACTGTGTGCATGTTCCCCCAAGGAAAATGTTTAGATAATTAGGAAGAGGAGCTTTATTATGCTAACCATCTTTTTAGAGCATTATGTACAGTGAAGGGGAAATACTTATTTTGTATCCAACAATGTTCTGTTTTGCCCCCTCAGAGGTTCGGGCGACTCATCTTGCCTTCTTTTGCTGTCCGGCACCCATAATCAGGTAATTTGTGTTGCACATTGGGAAGTGTGCTGCTGAGTGTGTAGCTCATGGGTAGGCAAACTATGGCCCGAGGGCCGGATCCAGCCCAGTCACCTTATAAATCTGGCCCACGGGCGACCTGGGAATCAGCGTGTCTTTACATGAGTAGAATGTGTCCTTTTATTTAAAATGCATCTCTGGGTTATTTGTGGGGCATAGGAATTCGTTCATATATTTTTTCAAAATATAGTCCGGCCCCCCACAAGGTCTGAGGGACAGTGGACCGGCCCCCTGCTGAAAAAGTTTGCTGACCCCTGGTGTAGCTGGTTGCTTTCTTTCTGATGCACATTCCAAATTAACGTTCTTCCAGGTCTCTCACTCGGATGCAGATCTACACAAAAGGCGTGAGCATTTAGTGGAGCGTACCCGGAGGGAAGCCCAGCTTGCTGCGCTACAATACGAGGAGGAGAAGATGAGGACAAAACAGATCCAAAGGGAGGCCGTCCTAGACTTTGTCAAGGTAGGTCAAGATAGGTTTTCAGGTTTAGTGTGCAATTCTCCAGGGAGAGGTGGTGGTGGTCCCATGCCTTCCAGTTATACAGTGGCCTCAGTACTCCCTCTCTTGCGACTATATATTTAAAGGCCAGACCTTCTCCCACCCCAGAAGAAAGTTGTAGGGTGTCAAACATAGCATGGCTAGCTGTGCATGCACACACCTGTACACTGAGCGTGATAGGAACGCTCCACCACTCTGAATTAGTCTGCATGCTGAATAATCCTCTTCTAATCGCTGCACAGAGTCTGGCATTGCTGTTAAGGTCCACATATACTGAGGGTGGGAGACAAGTGGTATTGGCACCATGTTCTGCCCCACCCCTGATTCATTTATCCATACAGGGTTTGCCACACCCCTACCCAGGAGCTGAATCTTGCCCAGATTTTGTTTTCAAGAAGTCTAGCAGCTGGTCACATGGTTTGGCACAGAAGTGTAATAAGATACAGGCTACTTCTTCTGAAACTTGATGGGGAACTAATAGTTCTGAAAGGGTGTAAGGTTGTTTATTGATAGGCCCTGCTGCTTGCTCTGTTTTACTGGAAATTGGATTGCTTTCGTCACCATTGGGGTTTTCATCACCCTCCACACAGTGAGCTCTTTGAGTGGGGGCTTAGAGGACTGTCACCCAGAGCACAGCACAGCTGCATCAGACTGTGTCTGCACATTAGGTGGAAGAAACGTATCACAGAAAGTGGTGAAGATCAGGAATGATTTGGGATATAGTTTGTTTAAAGGGGTCTTCCAACTTCATACTTTTGTAACGGATTTATTGTCATTATGATGCAATGTAGTGACACACACTGAGATGGAGAAGTTGTAGACCAACACAGCTTTACAGTGGTAGATTTAGGAGAATGCTGATGTATTTGGTTCCAAAACTGAGTTACCTAAGAAACAAAATGCCAACTCTAACCTCTTTCTCCTAGGCAGGTGGGTTCTGTTCACAGGTCAATAAAATGGTTCAGCTTAGGAACCACTTATGTTCGTGGAACATTTCTTGCCCATCTTGCCACCTTATTTCCTATTTACCTGAGCCTGCGTGCTTTTCCCTAGTAAATTGCTCCTTTTCATTCTTCCAAGCAAAAGGCATCCCAGAGCCCTCAGAAGCAAAGCCCTCTGGATAGCGAGGTAAGAACTAAAGCTATAAACCACCTTATTGTCATTTCCTAAGCTCTTTATGGGGGGGAGTCCCACTTTTTACCGAGGCTACAATCATGAGTGCACATACTGAGTAAAACTCCATTTGTCACTGGATCTGATTTAAATCTGTTCAGGAATGAAGTGTAAGCGTAGAGTTTAAAGATCACTACTGTGCCGCAGCAGAGAGATGTCTCTTGAGTTTGCCTTCTAAGCCTTCTCCCCACCCCCACCCCTGTTTTGACGTTGGTTGGACTGTGGATTTGTCCATGTAGTCTGTGTCCTGTAAATGTGGCAAATGTATGTAAATAGACCTATTTATATCTGTTCCAATATCTTTCTTGAAAAGAACTGACGTGAGAGCAGATAATATACTGGGAATATTAAAAAGCACTTTTGGAACTGCTGGTCCTTCAGCCATGTCACCATCAATCAAGAACTAAATCCAGCCTGAACTTCCAAGTTGTCATTGAACTGGTGGGTTGGCCACCAGATCCAAGGCTTTTTGCATTGCTTAACATCACTGAACAGTCAAGCTCTGCTTTTGCACACTTGCTTCTTCTCTGCAAGTGCACTTGCATCAGAGCACAGGTTGGCTTCACGGCATGCTCTGTTCGCTGAGTTTTAGCAATTGCACCAGTCTTCGCTCGCTGGGCACCCTCCATATCTTTTGGACTACAGCTCCCATCACCTCATCTTAAAAAGATATTGTAAATCTGGAAAAGATTTAGAAAAGGGCAACCAAAATAATGAAGGGGATGGGAGGGTCACAATATTTATAAATAATAATAATAATAATAATAAATTTATTATTTATACCCCACCCATCTGGCTGGGCATTTTAGTCTAGAGCAAGGGGAAAACATGGGAAAGGTGTTTAAAATTATACCTGATGACGAGAAAGTGAAAAGAGAAAGGTTTCCCTCTCCTTCTCATAACACTAGAATTTGTAGACATCCATTGATACTGAATGTTGGAAGATTCAGGACAGACAAAGGAAAGTCATTTTTCACCTGGTGCATACCGTATTTTTCGCCCTATAGGACGCACTTTTTCCCCTCCAAAAATGAAGGGGAAATGTGTGCGCGTCCTATGGGGCTAATGCAGGCCTTCGCTGAAGCCTGGAGAGCGAGAGGGGTCGGTGCGCACCGACCCCTCTCGCTTTCCAGGCTTCGCACAGCTCTCCGCAAGGCTTGGGAGCCCGGCGCTGGGCTCCCGCGGCTTGCGGAGAGTTGCCTGCATGCTGAAGCCTGCGCGCGCTGAGCTCAGCGTGCCCAGGCTTCGCGCAGCTCTCTGCAAGGCACAGGAGCCCGGCACTAGTCTCCCACGGCTTGCGGAGAGTTGCCTGTTCTGGGGGCTGGGAATAAATTTTCCCCCCTTTATTTCCCCCCCAAAAAACTAGGTGCGCCTTATGGGACGGTGCGTCCTATAGGGCGAAAAATATGGTAGTTAAATCTATGGCATTCACTCCCATAAAAAGTAGTGATGGCCACCAACTTGGCTTTAAAAGAGGAATAGGCAAATTCATGAAGAATACAGCTACCCATGGCTGCTAGGCAAGATGGTTGTGTTCTTCCTCCACCGTTGAAGGCAGTCTGCCTCTGATGGCCAGTTGCTGGGACTCCCAAGTGAGTGGGGAGAGGGCTGCTGTGACGCACAGTTCTTGCTTGTGGGCTTCCCATTTGGACATCTGGCAAGTCATTGTGAGAACAGGATGCTGGATTGGGTGAGCCATTGGCCTGATCCAGCCAGCCATGGGAGTTGTAGTTCAAAACATCTGGAAGGCGCCAGGTTGGCAAGAGCTGAACTTCATGCTAGTAGGGTAGCCAGCACTCAAGGCTGATATTGGTGCCTTGGAACAGAATTTTGGTTGGTTCTCAGCCTCCCTCACATTGGCATCTGTCTTTCCCCACAAGAAGGTTTTATACACCACCAGGGCCAATTTTCTTGTTTTGCTAATGGAAAATAGTTTTTACTTCATGATCAGCCTGTCATAAGACACAACACAATAGACCACAAATACATAGGAAAGTGTTTTCCAGTAGTCTGCGTTCTGTGACTCTGGACTGCTTCCAAATAGTTCTGTTCTTTTTATTTGATCTTTGTTTCAGTTCCTCCCAGGCTGTGTGTGTTCTTTCCTTAATATTGCAGCGTTCTCCACTGGAAAGATTCGCATACCAAATCCCGTTCTTTCTTGGACTCGGCAGCTGGAAGCAAAATAGCTCCTGAATCAGTTGCAGATGTTTTTAATGCTGAGATCATTAAGAGACTAATAGGTTTCTTTCCCCTCTCCCCATTGTTTCAGTTATACTTTACTGATTACCTCCATGTGCCTTCTGCATTAAGAACCTTGTCAATTCCAGATGTCTGTGTTTGTCTGCATATTTTGTGGTGGTCTCATGTTTCTGATGTTGCCATCTCTCCCGCATCCCCAGTGTCCCTTCCCGTCCAGAAGGTCTCAGCACACTGATGATAGTGCCTTGCTGGTGGTAAGAATCCTGCACGCAATGGCCTGTTTATGTGTCAGCCTCCTAGATCATAGTTAGCATGTTTTCTATGGTTTGCTGAGATTAGGCAGTTTAGTACCACTCCTAAATAGCATAAAACATGGCTGTCTTTTAATTATAATAGCAATTTTGGTATAAATTGCTACTTTACCCTCCTTCCTTCTGCCTTGGAACGGATTGCAGCTGATGTTCACAGCTATGTGTTCCTGAACTTCCTGTTCTGATTTAGTCCCTGGAACTCATAAGATAAGTAGTTGGTGCAATTTGTGGAAACATTAAAGGTGTGAATAAGCTTTAGGGGGTGAAATCACCTAAGCAGGTTCTTAGGTTCCTGCCTGGCCTACTCATGGAGTCATCCACACATCAGCTATATAGATAACACATTCATTACAAGGCCCAGAAGTGTTCCTGTAAGTACCAGGTGTTAATGTCGAGAGATGGTATCTAAATTTTGCATTTCCATTTCCTTGCTGAGCCAGTTCAGTATCCTAACATGGAATCATAGATTTCGAAGAGGCATGATGTCACCCAGCCTTGTCTATCCACCTGCAGGATCCCTGTGGCCTAAATCATACATCACAGATACTCATCCATGATTTCCCCTGAAGAACTACTTTTGTAGTTGTTTGGAGCATGGCCCTCTGAATGGCTGCTGGTGATCCATTTGAGTATGTTTAGTTAACCATGACTAAACGCTTTGTTTTTGCCCCTCTGTTTAAATCAGTGGAGGTACTTTTACATCTCTCAAGTATGAATTGTCTATTTTTTTAAAAAAGTTGTCAGCATTTCATGTAACACCATTTCCATGTTTTATGCTATTTCCTTCCTCTGTTGGTATCTCAAAAATAGCGATTGAAATCCATTTTCATGTTCTTTCCTGGCCTGCTTCGCTCTGCCTGCCTTTGCATGACTTGCATGCCTTCAGTTTATTTGCTCATTTATATTCTCTTCAGTTCAGTGCTTGAGGTTTCATATGTGCAGCCATGTTGCTGGCTGAAGAGCACTGAAACATCACCTAGGTGTGAAGCAGGGACACACACACACCCGGACACCCCTCCCATCCTGGACATTACATTCAGGCATTTTCCTATTTGTGACATGAGAGTACAGGGAAGGCAGAGGCCAGAAAATGGGTTCAAAAGTGTGGTTGAGAGAGAACTCTGCTTATTGTTTACTATGGTTAACGTTGATGCCAAATTAAACCTTTAAAATGGTGGGAGTAATTCGTGTTGGAGCAGTTCTGCAGCCCAGTCCCTTTACTTGTCTTGTTCCTCAGTTCATGTAAGGACAACTGGTGATTAGAAATAGGAAAACTGAGCATTTGACCTTTTCTGACTAGAGAAACCTCTGTCTCTTGAAAATTGTTGTTCAGTAGTAACCAAGCTAGCAAGTTGGTAGCAAACGTGGCACACAAGTTGTTGTTTTGTGTCCCTGTTTCCAGGCATTCTTACAGTTGTGGATGTAAACTCTTTCTGTCCCTCTCGTTCTAATTTCCATAAACGCCCAAAAAGTGGGATTGATGTGGATGGGTAATTGACTTGCTTGGTCTAGATTTCCTTCTTGCCCTGTCCCAGGACTTGGAGTGAGCTTGTTATCTCAGGCATGCATACTTCCCTGTTTGTCGATTTAGGGCATGATCCGATTTTAATTCTTTTTGACAAATCACTGCTTCGATGAATGGGATTTGGCCAGTTCCAGCCATTTCCATCATATGGTTTATGTGTCTATTTCTGACTCTCTTGAATTGCACTTGCTTACATGGCGGCATTTTCTCCCACAACATAATAGAATATTGTGTAGAATTCTAACGAAGGCCTTTTGTTCAGCACTTCCCTTATTACATCATAGTGCCTGTTCAGCCAAGACTGCTTTTTTTCTTTCTCTGAACAATGATGTTAACTCCAGTATAGGGAAAATGCATGGAAATAGGTCTGACAAACAGGCAGTATGAAATTACCCTCGCCCTTTTACACTTTTGTTGCTTGCACAAAAGTGGACTTGCAGCCTCCTCCCCCACTGTATGCTTCCAGGTGTGATTAAGTGCTCGCCACCCCCAGTTTCTGGAAAGCAGGGTGCTACCACCATCAGTGTGTATTCAACACTAACAGTTTGCATGTTTTCCCTTCAAATGCATGTGTTGAAGGCGAGAGCAATGGAGGTAGGTTTGGGAGGGGCACTGCAGTCGGGCTCTGGACTAGCTCCAGAGCACAGCTGGCATGGCTGTCTGCAGGCATGGCTAGGGCGGACACGACGCAGCGCTGCCAAGGCCCTTCCATCTCAGTGCAAGCTGACGGGTTAGGAGCCTCCCGCAAACAAGGTGCAGGAGGTGGACACAACTCGCTTTCAGAGGAACAAGTAGGCCGCTTATTCCCCTGATTAGATTTCTCATATTTTATATGATTTGTACATCACCTTGAGTCTCTTGAAAAGGGCATCTGGGAAACAACATAGAATCACAGAACTGTAGAGTTGGAAGGGACCCTGAGAATCATTTAGTCCAACTCCCTGCGATGCAGGAATATGCAGCTGTCCCAAACAAGGATCGAACTTGCAGCCTTGGCATTATCAGCACCACGCTCTAACCAGCTGAGCTATCCAAGCTTGGTAGTAATTACTCAACTATCCATTACTCAGTAGTAATAATATTTGCTGTGTTGATGAAGGCTTAAATTCATGAGCTCGACCCCCTCAAAGTCACTGGACGGCTTTGGAAATAAGTTTAATGATACTTGAAATCATAACATAGCCAGCATTAACTTCTCTTTGTATTTATTTACTGTTACTGATATCCTAACTTTCAGGATGTAAATCCCTCATATGTGTCTTAGGGGAAACTGAAATACATTTTTTAAACTACAGTGAACAATATCAACATACAAAATGATAATAATAATTCAGGATAGTCCTCACCAAGCACTTGGTGAGGAAATGACAATAGTGAGTAAGTGAGTAAGGCTCTGAGGTGGTCCTCACCTCTCTGTCTCCCTCTCTCTTCTGGAATCCTTCTCATAGGACAGCTGATGGTAGATGGTTCTGCTGAGGAGTGGCCTTTGCAGAATACCACCCGTTTTCCAATTTATTGTTGCAACATGATAACCAACATGGTGCCCTCCAGAATGTGGACCTGAACTCCCAGGCAGCACCGTCTGAGGCCAGCGATGATGAGTTCTAGTCCCATAGCATCTGGAGAGCACCACGTTGGCTGCCCCTGGGCCAAGCATGCATGACACTTTACACAATAACAAACGACAGGACCCAGGGATCTAGTACTCTAAATTTCACCAGTTATACATAGTTAGGCTTCGTTTCAGGTGGGGTGGGGGAATGATGGAAGAAATCTTTGTCAAGTCATGGGCCCCACAGAAAAGGAAGGCTTTCATGGATTTGGAGAAAGAGGTTTTTCCCTAAATAATCCTCACCCATCATGTTTGAAAAATTCACTAAGGATATAAAATCTGTACAGTGACACTTGTTAGGGATCAGCACTGCGCCAGTTGCCTTTAAAGCTCACCGTAGCAACCAACCGCCGTGTACCTTCTCACATGGCTGCTTCGTCTGCAGTAAGCAGAGTGGCTGGGGAAACCTAGCCAGGTGGGCAGGGAATAAATAAATTATTATTATTATTATTATTATTATTATTATTATTATTATTATTATTATTATCTTTTACCTTTCTCCTGTGTTTCTCTGCACTTCTGGTCCCTATGTTTGCTTGTTCTCTTTCATCTTATACTTCAAACTCTTTGGCATGAGATAATTCTAATTTTGCATGCAAGTGTCAGATACAACCCAATGCAGCCCTGGGTCGCCTTGGAATACAAACAAGTGTGGTTGGTTTTTGTTGTGCATAATTTCTGGCATCCTTTACTCTTGTGGACAGCATTTTTTTTTTTATTTTACATGATGCTGTTGTTCCTAGTTTGTTACATTCCCAAGAGTTTTCTAATTGAGCCTTAAGGACCAAATCTTCAAGCAATCCCCATAAATGCTGCTTGCTTTTCCAACCCCTGCAGTGCAGTGATAATCACAACCTCGGCATTGGCAGGGCTACCACCTTGAACTCTACAGTGAGCAACATCTTGACACAACGCGGCGAAGAGAGTGCATAGTTTGCCAGTTGTTTATTCCACTTAAGAACAGACTTGGTGGGGAAATTTAACAGAAATTGATTCAAGAAAGACTGTAGCGTTAGGTTCAGGTAAAGAGAAGAGGCCATAGCTCAGTGGTACAGCACATGCCTTGCAAGCTGGTTCCATGTTCAGTCCTTGATTATCTCTATTTAGAGGAGTCTTAGTTAGCGGGCCTGAAAGAGGCCTCCGCTTGGGACCTTGGAGGGCTGCTGCCAGCAAGGACAGCCGTTGCTGGACTTAGATGGATCAGCGGCCTCACTCTGAGTAAGGCAGCTCCATATGTTGATAGGCCGTTCTGAGACTGTTGTCAAGGGTAGTCTGTTGGATTCTTCTGCTTTGCACCTTCTGCCTTCTTCAGGTGATTCTCTGTCTTCCTCCCTTTCTTCTCCCCCTTCTCTCTTCTCTGCCCTCCCTGACAGAATGGTTTTGAGCCTATCTTAGTGTTTGAGATTGACAGTAATACCAACACCATTAAAAGGAGGCCGGGGACACTCAACCAGGTGAAGAGCATGCAGCGTGTGACTGTCTTGGCTGGATTTACGTTTCCTGCTTACCTGATACTGAGGGCAGCGTTGATCCCTACTCTTGGCCTGTTTTCATGTCCATCTAATGGAGCCAAGAACCACCCTTGCTTAATAGATGACTCTGCAGAGAGTTGGTGGTCCATGTGCACCATGTCTGGACGAGTTAAGCTGGGGGAGGTCAAGCAAAATACAATAAACTAAAAATGTAAGATCAGCCTTGCTGGATCAGACTGAGAAGGTCCATCTAATCACAAAGTCGGAAGGGACCACACGGGTCATGTAGTCCAACCCCCTTCAATGCAGGAATTTTTCACCCAAGGCAGGGCTCGAACCCACATCCCTGAGATTAAACGTCTCATGCTCTACCGACTGAGCTTCCCCAACAGTTGGCAGCCAGTTTCTTCTGTGAGGCCCAAAGCAAGAGGACACAAAACAAAGACCTCTGCTGTTCTTCCCTCAGTAGTTCAGAAATATGAGGGGTCCGTTTAGCTATCGCAGACCCTCCTCCATGAATGTGTTTAGTCCCATTTCAAGGCTGTCTTAATAGAGGGCCATCATCACATCTGGTGGCAGCAAATTCCGTATGATAACTCTCTGTTGTGTGAGGACGTTCTTTCTCCAGTCTGTCCCGAATCTGCTACCCATCACTGGGTGACTTTTGAGTTCAAGTATTCTGAAAGGGGGGGGGGCTCTTTCCACTTTCTCCATAATTGCATGCAACCTTCCGTCATATTTCCCCTTATTTGTCTTCCCCCCCCCATCTTAACTAAAAAACCCACACATGGTTTAACTTTTCCTCATAAGGAAGACGCTCCAGCCCCTGAATCATTTTGGTTGCCCTAAGTCATTGCAAAGACCACAGAATTTTGGTTTCTGCATATTAAATGCCATCTGTACCACTAAGAACCACTCCTGGGGCAATTTTCTGGTTTGCCATATGAATGAGCCAGAATAGGATTGCCAAGTAAACGAGTTGTCAGAGAAAAGCAGTTTTATTCTGACATGACATGATGTCTAACCTGTCTGTAGTAGAAGCTGAAATTAGCCTGTAAAACGTTTCTTGTTTGCAGAATCTTCAGCAGCAGATAAAGGCAGATGTTTTTGGTGCTTTGCAGACTTCTTTTTGCAGAGGCCAGTACGATTTTTCATTGTGAAAATGATCAGGTCCTGTGCTTGCTTAATATTTCATTAGAATCATTTCTGACAAAAGAAAAAATAAATAAAAACAAACATACTCTATTATTATAGAAGATCTGGTTATCTGTCAAACTGGGGAAAGGGCAGAGACATAGGCGAAGGCAGCCTGTCTTCCGTTCACCCAAACAAGCAGGTCTGACCTAGAAGCCATTGGAGAGGTCAGGGATATCATTTGACTTCCTCTGTCCTGCTGTTGAGAGCCTGGGTGGTGGAGCACAAGCAGAATCAATGGCTGACATCCTTCAGGTACCAGAGTGAGACCCTCAAATAGGCTTGTGAGCTGTTCTCTACAACTTGCTTCTTCTTGGTGACACTTCACACAAGATGGTGATTGTGGGTCACTTGCTTCCACTCATGCAACTCTTCTAAAACCTGGTTTCGAGTTTGGAGCCCACTGTGCTCCCTCCAATAGCAGAACAAAGAGGATTAAAGGAATATTGGTAGATGGGCCAGTACACTTGCTGTGTGGTGCTTCCTTGTTGTATAAAATGAAGTTCTGCTGTCTCCTTAACGTGAACTGAAAGTCACCCTTTTGTGCTTGCATTCCTTAACAAGTCCACTTCGCTTGATTAGTGTGATTATCTTGTACATACATGCTGGAAATTGTAATCAGTGATAATAAAGAGTCCTCGTAAAAATGGCAAAATATGTCTAAGAACCGGAGATACTTATGCAGTTGAATATTCACTTCGTACTAATTTGCCTTTGATTAAAGATCTTTTCTTTACATATAATCAGTTTTATCTCCTCCCCCCATTGGCTAGCTTAGTGGCAGCCTTCTTTTTTTGTGGCTCTTGTCCCAAATACATTTAATCCTGGCTGTACTATTCTCCATTATTATAGTCCTAGAAGTGTTATGCTAATTTTCTAAGAGATCCTTTTTATGGCATGTAACCCCCCCCCCCATCTTATGCTCCATCTTCCTACCCCTAGAATGATATCCTAGATGTGTACAAAGCTTATTTCTGCTGCGTTCTACTGCTTCATCTTTCTCCTTTATCCACAGAGTGATGACAGATCCACCATCTCGCCAAATTCACCCACAGCTCAAACAGGTAAACTTGGGGGAGAAAGCAAAGGGGGAAACAGATGCATCACTGAGATGCTGAAAAGGTTATCAGCGTGCAAGCTAAGCTGACAGGGGTCTTCTTGGCCATAACCTGTGGACCAGTGTAGCACCACAACCAAGGGCTGTGCCAACACTGCAAGCCAGTTGTGGATGTTGCACTTGGACAACAAGGTGAGCCAGTACAGCAGTGCCTTAAGCAATCCTTTCCACCAGGTAGTTTTATAGGTGTAATAACTGTCATACTTTCGAGTGTTCAGAGGACTTCACACACATTGTAATGACCCTTGATTTGTAGGATTGGCCAGCACCGTTCTTCTCCTTTCCTAGATTAGGGGGTCGGGTGCTGAGATAGCAGTGCCTTCCCTACAGCTACCTAGTGAGTTTATGGCAGAAGCAAAACTTGACCCTGTACCTTCCTGATTCATAGCTCATTTGTTTCACCTCCATGCTGCACTAGCTCTCTCTCAATTCTTTGACTCAGCAGAGAGATACAGCTCACTTCCACACAAGTAAAGTAAGGCAATAAAACAGTTTGTCTCCGAATGAAGCTAGGTCCAGAAAACTCCGTAATCAATTGTCATGGTTAAGTAATAGCACACGAGCCTTTCTCCCACTGATACATCTTGCCTGTGATGTTGGGCCAAACCAAAATATGACCACAACTGGAGATGAGCAGGCTATTATGCTTCAGCTGTGAAAATCCATTGTACTGGGAGAAAAGCATTTTGTATGGGTTCATAAATGCAGCACTATTGTAGCCTGAGCTTCAGTCACTTTGGGAGGGCTGGGAGCTCCATTGCATTGGGTTTGTTTTTCTAGATTGAGGCTCCTTTGGACGTTCCTCAGGTTGTGAAACTGTAATAAAATAGAGAAGACTTTTTTCCCAGAGGGTTCTGAGGAATGTTCGTAGACATCTAGAATGGACTGGTCTTCCCCTCACATCTTTATAACACTCAGCGATAAGTTTGTCAGTTTAAAAACGTGTCCTTCCCATTCTTGTTCTGCTGAGCTGACAGCATGTTTTTGCATGTCCACATTCAGTTCACCTGTCTGCTCCATATCCTGGTCCAGCTGCTGTTGCTGCTGCTCCTCCTTCCTACAGAAATCCTCCCCAGCGTCCTGAGAGCTTCCTTTTTCGGAATGTTGCCAGGGATGAAGTGAGCAAAGGTAGGCTGCACAAATTGGACCTGTGATGGTGTGGCTTGGTGGTCTCCGTTAGCCCCTTGGAACAAAGGGAGCTGACTTAAACCAAGTCAGGCTGTTGGTCCATCTAGTTCAGTATTGCCTACCCTGACTGGTAGCAGCTCTCCTGGGTTTCAGCCCAGAATCATCATCATCATCATCATATTTATACCTCGCCCATCTGGCTGAGTTTCCCCAGCCACTCTGGGCGGCTTCCAATCAAGTGTTAAAATCAATACAGCATTAAATATTAAAAACTTCCCTAAACAGGACTGCCTTCAGATGTCTTTTAAAAAGAAGATAGCTGCTTATTTCCTTCACATCTGAAGGGAGGGCGTTCCACAGGGAGGGTGACACTACCGAGAAGGCCCTCTGCCTGGTTCCCTGTAACTTGGCTTCTCGCAGTGAGGGAACTGCCAGAAGGCCCTTGGTGCTGGACCTCAGTGTCCGGGCTGAATGATGGGGGTGGAGACATTCCTTCAGGTATACAGGACCAAGGCCGTTTAGGGCTTTAAAGGTCAGCACCAACACTTTGAATTGTGCTCGTAAATGTACTGGGAGCCAATGCAGATCTCTCAGGACCAGTGTTATGTGGTCCCGGCGGCCACTCCCAGTCACCAGTCTAGCTGCCGCATTCTGGATTAATTGCAGTTTTCGGGTCACCTTCAAAGGTAGCCCCACGTAGAGCGCATTGCAGTAGTCCAAGCGGGAGATAACCAGAGCATGCACCACTCTTGCGAGACAGTCTGCGGGCAGGTAGGGTCTCGTCCTGCATACCAGATGGAGCTAGTAGACAGCCGCCCTGGACACAGAATTGACCTGTGCCTCCATGGACAGCTGTGAGTCCAGAATGACGCCCAGGCTGCGCACCTGGTCCTTCAGGGGCACAGTTACCCCATTCAGGACCAGGGAGTCCCCCACACCCGCCCGCCCCCTGTCCCCCAAAAACAGTACTTCAGTCTTGTCAGGATTCAACCTCAATCTGTTAGCCGCCATCCATTCTCCAACCACCTCCAGGCACTCACACAGGACCTTCACCACCTTCACTGGTTCTGATTGCAGGACAAGGGATTGAACTTAGGACCTTTTCCATGTAGAGCATGTGCTCTACCACTGACCAGTGGATCTTCCCCTACATTGGAGCCAAGTTGTGTTGCCCAGAGCAGTTGCTTCATTAACTAGGCCGAAGGGTATGCTCTAACAAGCAGCAGATGAAGCGATTAACCTGTGATTGGGCTTTCCCTCTTCGGAATGCGAAGTGGAGGGGGCAGTGGGGCTTATGTGGATGGCTCCCACACACTCCATATGGTCCTTTATTATTTTCTTGTCTTTTCTAGCCACTTCATCACTGTCTCCTTCTGCATCGACACCTGCTAATAGCACTGAAGACCATAGTGAAAACCACAGTTCCAAGCTGCAGGAAGAAGAGGTTGAGCTGATAGAGCAACTGCGGAAAGTACGTGGCAAAGTTTTCTCCATTGCTTTGGAAAGATGGGCTTGCCAAATAAGTTCAAGGCAAATCTGTTCCAGGGGTAGCCAAACAAATGACCACCAGATATTGTTGGACTTTAACTCCCATGAGCTGTAGCCGGCATGGAATCCTTAAAGAATGCTAGAGATGTCCGTGGCATTCTGGATTTAAAAAAATCTTGCATGTCACAGCTTGTTTATTTGGCAGATCTGCTGCATGCCATTACTGCACTGTGGGCTGCATCCTGTGTTGTGGTGTTTGTACACAAGACTGTTCTTGCAAATTAGTCTCATGACTAAAAAGTAATGTGAGAAGGCTTTATAAATGTCTACTCCTGCAGAACCACTCCCAGTTTCTCAGCACACTTCTTTCTGATTTGTTGCAAATCAGGTTCCCAGATAACTTAGTTTAATTGTAGGAAGAAAATGTTGGGAGTACAGAATGTTGCCCTTGGCTGCATTTGGACAATTGCATCTTAGCTTAATAAGCTGAGGTATGAATGAGCCATGGCACTGCTGTATGCAGTGGTTTTGCAGAAAAGCCAGGGAGTCTTCAGTTAACTATGGTTGTCCGTTACATTAGAACTGGGAAACTGTGGTTCGTAACTTGGGAGGAAGCCAGGACGTGAAACCAACTTCAAACTATGGCTTCTTATCCTGGCTTGTTCCAAAGCTGTTAACCACAGTTTCCCAGTTCTAATGTAACTGGAAACTATAGTTTGCTCGCTCATGCAGAGTAAGGAGCAAAGTGGCTGCTTGCAGAGCATGAGATTTGCTGGTTATTTTGCTGAGATAATCCGAACACAACCATATCCTCATCTAATGATGTCTGTAGGGTGTACTTTACAGATTTCTTGCAACCTATTTAAAGTTTGTCTCTGGGTAGCATGTATTGTGGCGGCGGCAATGAACTTTTCCCTCTCTTTTTTCCAGAAAATTGAATCACGGTTGAAAGTGTCTTTGCCCAGCGATCTTGGAGCAGCGCTGACTGATGGCGTGGTGCTCTGCCATTTAGCCAATCATGTGCGGCCTCGTTCTGTTCCTAGTATTCACGTCCCGTCGCCAGCTGTTGTAAGTATCCCGTTAAGAGCGCTGTGGCTGCTTGATAGAATCCGTACCTGTTTTTCCAATTTGATTCTGTCTTCTGGCTTGAAAGCAATGAAACAGCAGATGACTGCTAAAGATAAGCAATAGTGTAAAATGACAAAAGCAGAACAACAGAGCAGTGGTGATAAAATTATTATTATTGATTTATTTAATTTTTTATTAACTTTGTATACCACCCTTCATTCTGAAGATCCCCAGGGTGGTTCACAACAGAAAAATGCAGAATGAGAATACAAAATAGAACAAAAACAAATCAATTTACCCCCTCCCACAAATACATAGGAGCCAGAAGGAAATTAGCTGCACAAAATTCCCAGCATATTCTGGAGAGAAGTTGTCTGCTTCAGGGAAGACCCTGCACCTCGAAGAGGTCAGCCTGACTTCTGATAAGGAAACATGCCCCATCCCAGCCCCAAAGATCTCAGTCTACAGAGATACTAATTTCTTCAAATTTCTATTTCATGTTGCTACAAACAACCCTTGGTCTCTGTGTCAATAATATTCAACAAGAGCTGCAAGCACCTATGGCTACTGTGGCAAACACTGCAGTTTTGCATTGTAAGAACCCCCGAATCTTGTGTCAGCTGCTTTTGGCATGCAAATATTCCATGCAAATCCAGACCTTCACTAATTTGTCTGGCTGTATAGGCAGCTGTTTTAACTTAATTTCTGGCTGGCCAGGATAGTGGGGTGAGAGTAAGAGAGGAGTTTGGACCTCAGTGAGCAAGAGGTGCACACCTAGAGACAGTAGTAGTAGTAGTAGTAGTAATAATAATAATAATAATAATAATAATAATAATAATAATAATAATAATAATACCCCACCCATATGGCTGAGTTTCCCCAGCCACTCTGGGCAGCTTCCAACAAAATATTAAAAATACAATAAAACATCAAACATTAAAAACTTCCCTAAACAGGGCTGTCTTCTAAATAGTTTCTTATTTCCTTGACATCTGATGTGAGGGTGTTCCACAGGGCAGGCGCCACTACTGAGAAGGCCCTCTGCCTGGTTAAGGGACAGCTGGCAGAGAAGTATGTGTGGGAACAGCCATGCTGTCATATGTACTATTTTTCTTCCTAACTGAAATTTCTAGGGCCACCCACACTATTGACTCCTAGCACAAAAATATCTTTAAGCATTCTGGTTTATCTGTAAGGCACTGCTGAGTTAAGAATGACATGGTCCTCCTTTCTTCTGCAGCCTAAGTTAACCATGGCCAAGTGTAGACGGAATGTGGAAAATTTCCTGGAAGCTTGCCGAAAGATTGGCGTGCCTCAGGTAAAAGAGAAAACCTTCTGTCTTTATTTTGCACTGCATGTACTCATTTTATATTATTGAGAGCCCGACATTTCATAGCACCAGTTTCTGCACGGGGTTGGGGGCCACAGTGGAAATAAATGCCTAGAGATGTAACCTACCATATTGCAGCCAATCAAGCCACTCCAGTAATAAGCACCCTTTGTCCTTCAATAATGCCTATTTGCAGACTTGCATTCAGAATAGGCTCAGTGGAAAGTGTGTTAATGAAAATGTAGCAAATCAGGAAGTGAAATCATACTCCTGTTTATTCCAGTTCATCTGAGTGCCTTATCAGGGCTTGCCCAGTCTTGCTCAGTGCATTGAGTAAGATGTGAGGTCTTGCGCTAGAAATCAGATTTAGTTCTGCTGTTGGCTTCTGTTTATGAAGAAGGACGGCAGAGGCAAACAGAACACTGGGTACAATAAATATAATTGTATCTTACAAGTCTGAGAAGTCTTGTCACTAATCTCATTAGTCTACCTATTTTATACCTTCTGGTACTTGTTCTCGGAGACTGTACTCAGGATGAAAATTCAGCTGTATGAAAGATTTGTACCATTGGCTATTCAAATGGGGTTCTGTGTTCTGAATCATTCCCACGCCCTCAGATATACTTGCCCAAGGAGTTGGATGTAGGTATGCCAGAGAGCGCAGGAGTGCTCCAGAATATCATACTTGATGCTACTACAGGCAGAATTTTTCTGCACTGTGTAGTTTGGGGGGGGGTTTTTGGTCTGGAGAGAAACTTTGGGGTCACTCCAATGAAAACCATAGTCCCATGATTGACCTACTGTGATGTATGGTATATGAGAACAAGTGGAAGGACTAGCTGACTGTATTTCACTTATTTAAAGTGATATGTTTGCAGCTAGATCCTGTGACATTTGACCTGGTCTCTGATGGTAGGTATCCAATAATATATTCCTATATTCAGCAGTTGACGTCCTAATCTGGACACTGCGATAACAATTTTTGGACTTGACACTTCATCTTCCCAGTTGCTGCAGGTGCTGACTTTAGGCAGAGACTCTTCCAAGGCAGCACTGCAGACATTCAGCACATCCTAGTCCAATTCTCAGCTCCTTTTGCTTCTGGATTCTGCTCACCATCCTTCAGAGAGCAGCCCAGGTGGTGCAAAAACGAGGCTTGACTGTGTGTGCTGCAGGTTTTTAGCACAGATACTTTTCAGTCGTTTGGTTTCATTACATTGCATGTGAAACGTTAAGTCTTTAAGTGCTGTAATACTGTTTCTGGTGGCAAAACCACCTCATGGTGATAGCCAAGTCAAAATTGCTACAAGCAGCTGCTTTGCCAAGAGATCCCTAGATCTTTACCATGAAGAGCAGTATTGACTGTGTTGGGTTATTACTTGTCTGTGTGTTTTGAACAACCAGCATTTGGCAGGTGTATACAGTGGTGCCCCGCAAGACGAATGCCTCGCAAGACGGAAAACCCGCTAGACGAAAGGGTTTTCCGTTTTGGAGGTGCTTCGCAAAACGAATTTCGTATGGGCTTGCTTCACAAGACGAAAATGTCTTGCGAGTTCCTGCAGGGTTCCCCCCCCCCTTTTCCCCAAGCTGCTAAGCCGCTTATCAGCTGATCCGCTAAGCCGCTTAACAGCTGATCCGCTAAGCCGCTTAACAGCTGATCCGCTAAGCCGTTAAGCCGCTGATCCGCTAAGCCGTTAAGCCGCTTATCAGCTGATCCGCTAAGCCGCTTATCAGCTGATCCGCTAATAGCGCTAATCCGCTAAGCCGCTAATGGGCTTGCTTCGCAAGACAAAAAAACTGCAAGACGAAGAGACTCGCGGAACGGATTCTTTTCGTCTTGCGAGGCACCACTGTAATTGAGATGCCAAAGTCTCACACTCCATAAGCGGCATATAAAATCCACTACCAGCCAAGGACTTAAAGCCTCCTGCACAAACCTCCCACCGAAATCCCCTCTCAACTCTCCCCACCCCATGTGTTACCTGCTATCCCCTTTACCTGCTATCCTCAGAGAGGCCCAGATGCATACCTCTAGCCCCAGCCTTCCTTGTCCCCCTGCCTGGCCGGCTTGCACTCTCTTTCTCCTCCTTCCTGTTGTTGCCCCTTTTGCTTCCGCTGCGTGACCCTAGCCATCACCTGACTGTTCCCTGTGGACAGGACAAGGAAGAGTGGAAGCAGGAGCTGTGCTTCAACTAGCCAGGATCTGCAAGCAACTCTCAGGTTGCAGTTTGCCAGTCCCATGTGTTTTGAGTTTGGAACATAGCAGGAATAAATGAGTTGTCTTCTGCTGCCGCCTTCTGTGCATCTTTTCCATATCCCATTTTGCCAGCTGAAAGGCCTTCATTCTCATCTTCATAGTAATAGCTCTTGGAGTCGGCTGCCCCTTGGAGTTAACAAAAGGCCAAGTGAAAGAGCTCAGCAGCTCACCCGGCAGCACTCTCTGCAATCTGACAATTCAAGATGAGTCGTGGTGGTGGCTGAGCTGATGAGGCTAGAAGCCATTTTCTTTGCTTGCCTTTTCATTCAGGTTCTTGGGGGAATCTGCTTCTGTTCAGCTTTGGTGCAGACCGGACAGAAGCAGAAGGTTGTGTAGACCAGGTTGAAGCTGAAAGTGTCAAGTAGGTTCAAGCCAAGGATGTTGCTGGGGCTCAGTGGGTGACCTGAAGGCATTGTTGGTGCTAGCCATCACAAGGAAGAGCAAGAGTCATGCTTGATGGACCCAAGACCACTGAGTAGGAGTGAGGACAGGGGTTGGGGAGATGGGTGGGAGACACCCAGGAGCCAGAGACCAGCCACTTACGCCATTGCTCATTTGTCTGTGAGTTTGTGGATTGACACCAGTGACCTATCCAGCACTTTGCCCAACTCAGCATAACAAAGGATGCTCAAACCGAAGTCTGGCTATTTTGAGAATATATCCCCCAACAATTTTGAGGAAGCTTAATTAAGTATATTTCTTACAACCAAGAATAGACATGGGGTGGGATTCAGCACTGCACTCTCCCAATCTTTCCATCAGCACAAGCATTCCAGGTTGCCCGATGGAACAATATCACATCGCCTTCCCCTCTGTCCGCACGCTGTTCTGGGGTTCTTCCTGACCACCCAGCCCCAGTGTTAGGGCGGAAGTGCCTTGTTGCACAAGTGGAAGCATCTGTGCACAATTTCCTATGACGGGCCTCATGAGGTGAATCCTACCCATAATCTGTGCAAATTTGGCATAACTCAGATCCTACACCTAGAGAAATGGGGATCCTTTATCCTTTTATAATAAAAACTGCTGCTTCTTATAGTTTATAGGGACTCTGAAGCACATGTAGAGCTCTATGCAAAACAGGATCTGGTCTATACTCTTCACTGTTGGGGAACATGTCAGGCAGTGATGGCAATAAGAGATCCTGCCTGCACCAAGTACCACTTGGTCTGTCTGTCTGTCTGTCTGTCTGTCTGTCTCTCTCTCTCTCTCTCTCTCTCTCTCTCTCTCACACACACACACACACACACACACACACACACTGTGTTGGACCCGGGACAGGCATGTGGTGCCTCCCGTTGGGTTTGTGTTGTACCAGTAATAAAGAGAAAGGTGTTCGCATGGTCCTATGTAGAAATACTTACCTTTTGAGAGGGCAGATGAGATCCCTTTTTAAAGCTGTTCTCTAAAGGTAGCATCTTGCATAGAGCCACATTCCCCTTCTGCCGTGCCCGCATGCCCATGTTTAGCTAAGTGGTTTAGTGGGCACAGTGCGACAGAAACACATTTGGGGGGTTGATGTGCTTTGCACCCTCACAACCATCCACCACCTCTGCCGGGAGAAAAGTGAAAAGTCCAAAAATTGCAAACTTTAAAAAAAAAAATGAAAATGAAACGTATTGCCTGATGGTACACTGGTTTACCTATGCAGGATACTACACTCAGAGACCAACTTTGCATTCCCAACCAAAAATGGGTGCACTTTTGGGGTGTTTTCCATGCACCACGCTCCCAGTTTAAATAACACCCCTTCCTGAAAAACGAAGGCCTGATTGTGCCAGTATGTTTTATGGCTGTTTTCTTCCAATTGAACAGCAATATAAGAATAGAGGTAAGAACACTGAAGGACCCTTTTGTGAAAAATGGATGACCCTGGGCTTTCTTGTCTACTTCATGGATTCTTGCATGACTGATGACTGATGCTAATTTTTTTCTGTCTGTTTTCCCTTCCTGCTCACACTTTGGACAGGACAAACTCTGTTCCCCTTCTGACATTCTCCAGCTAAACCTCAGCATTAAAAGGACAGTAGAATCTCTTCTTTCTCTGGGGGCAGATTCAGAAGAACCGAATCTTGTCTCCCTTTCCACCCAGCTGTGTGGCTTTGCGGCATTTTACTGTGCTCTGATGCTAATGCTCTGTGTGTTCTATCGCTGGGTCTTTTTCCTCTAGCTAAAGCTCAAGGGTGCCATGGACTTAACTCCAGCTCTTCCAAGCGGTTGGTAAACGGTCTGTGTTTCAGTCGAGAATTTTGTATGTGTACGTTGTTCCTGATCCACCAGCAATCTGCTCTGTGTGATGTGAAAAACTCTTGCTGATAATGACCTAGTCAGGCAGAATTTGCTGTTAGATAAGTGAAAGCTCCCTTACATTATGTGGCTGGAATACTTTATGCAAAACAGAAGGGGGGTTACACTTCGTAGAAATCTATTTTAATTGCACAACAGGTGGATATTTTTGTAGAACAGGAAGTTCACCCACTTCCTTTGGGAGGGAGGGAGGGTTGGTAGAGACAGTAATGGACGTTTGATTCTTGGAACTCACGGAACACTTGAAAAACCGGGATACAGTGTTGAAGGGAGACACTCCCTCACCATAAGATTTTTCCATCTAGACCTCCTTTGGTTTCTTAAGGATTAAACAAACAATGAAATGCATCTTCACCTTTTTCTCCAAGTGCTAGGAACATCACCATCGTTTTTAAAACAAAAAGTGGCGATTGTTCAGGCTTCCTCA